GTGTTTACTCTAGCCTGACACTTTCCACACTCCTGCACTTAGTGCCATTTTTCATCCTTTGACAAATAAACAGAAGACACTGGCGAAAGACAGTGGAAGTTATACGTTTGAGGAGCAGTTAGTGTCCAACCTATTTCCCACCACATTTATACTTAAAAAATAATAATAATGATGTCTCGTCTTGCCTCAACTCACCATTGTAATCTCACTGTGTCTAAGTTGGTGTGTCTGTCCAGTTCTGTTATCATTATATACATTTTAACTGGTGGTGAGAAATTTCTGCCTGGATTATCTTCACAGTGAATGTTTTCTCCACATCATGTGAATAAAACACTTCTTGCTTTGCATTCGGTAAAATCACAATTTCTTTAATAAATGACTAAAATTAGTCCTTCATAATAGAGGTATTATTGGGTTTATGCGGACCTTAGAACCTGAGACCCAACACGGAACCTGTATGGTTTCAGGTCCATACTTAATTATGGTCAAGTGGGTCGTGCTGGGGCACCACTCAACAATTGAATTGTGGAGAATCTACCTGATCTAACCATGTGCAGGTAGGGTTGCAGCGATATACCAGTTTCAAGGTATACCATGATATAAAAGGTGGCAGTTATCACAGAGTGTACATTTGCTTATCTATGATACTGAAAAAAAGAGGGACCTGAGGGACATCAATCTCCCCTTTATTTTAATTATTTTCAAAAGGGAGACTTTTTACACATATTTCCATTAACATAATGGTGTCAAGTTTCAATTATAGTAACAACCAACAATAACCCTTCTGTTTTCATTCCTTTAAGGGTCATTCTGACTGATAGTAATATAAATTTTGTAATAAAATGAAACTGTTACATTTTCTGAGATGGTTATCGTACCATGAAAATCTCATACCGTTGCAACCCTAGTAGCAGGTCCATACTGACAAAAATATATTTACTTTTGTGTGTGCGATCTTAGAACTACGGTGAACTGGCCACCAGCTGGCAGGTCCAGCTCCCAACACAACAACAACAACAGAAACGACAACAAAATAAATGACAATAGAGCAAAATTAAATAAAATTCGACATCTGAAACATTATTATACATTATATACAGTAAGATGGGTAAAAGCAATATGTTGTATCTGACATGACAAAATGTGTTTATTGGTAGAATGGCATTTTCAGTAGGAGATTTAATTACTGGGTTTTATGTGTCCATAAATAGACCCGCGACCTGACCTGGGACTCATGCAGGTCTGGGGTCTCTCTTGCCTTGGACATGTACCTGTTCGGGTCATTTATATCTTGGGCACAAACAGGTTGGATTATAGGCCTATATATTTTTTAAATTCTTGGGTCCAATTGGATCTCAGAACTTATTTCCTGGGTTTATTCGGGTTCAGGTCCATCATTTTAGACCCTTGAGGACCTCTACTCCACAACAAATACTTATAGTCCTTATCCAGGGTAGAAAATAAAATATTTTTTCAGGAAGGAATTGCCCTCGATGTTTGGAGGCATGTAGGCCTACATACACAACAATACAATTTTCTTGTCTTCTTGATCGTGTTTTTTGAGGCAAATACTGAATTTTGGCAGCAATTTTGCCCTTTGCCCTGATTATTCCTGACACTGTGCTTATTAATGTCAACATGTCCACATGATGCTGATTTTAGCTCAGAATGTTTGTCTGCAGGTTACAGTTTGGGGATGTTAGGATGGATAATATTCTTTTACTTTTGATGGACCTCAGTAACAGAATATCCAATTCTAGTAGACTCAAAGCTTGCTAAAGATGTCCTGAACATACATGTGCTTCTATCAGATATCATCTTCTCATCTGACTCTGACAAACAGATTTGTTCGGTTCAGATTTCCCAGAACCGTGGAGTTTTCCTTTATTCTTGATGGATTTAGCCCCACAGACAGTCTGAAGGGGTATGTTACAATGAACTCACTCAGCAGTGTAAATAAACTCGACAAAAAACGCAAATTTCTTTCTGTCTGGCAAAAGTCACTTCAAACAACTCACTACAAATGGAAATGGTTCTGCAGAAGCACAATAAACAATAGCTATATTCAAAGAAACTATGTATGTCTAATATGTCTGAATATTATTTCTATTTTATACTTAATCTACATAAAAACTCTACACGAACACATTTGACCTTTACAGAATGTATTCTTTACACAGTTTAGTCTGTATAGGACTCTTTGGGTAAACTCTGCATATTGATAATCACAACCTCTATTTTTTAATAGAAATCTATTTAACATTTTAGTAATGAAACCACACATACTGTATGTCACACACCAATAATCCAACATCAGCTGTTCTACTGCATCTTAGAGGACTGACGGAATGTGTGTCAATCTAAGCTAGTCTGAAGAAAAATAAACTCTGTTCACCTGTTTATTTAATATTCAGATCATTGGTAGATAAAACATGATAAAGATAGACTCAGTAATTCAGATTAAATTCATATGATTCTACCAACTGAAACTGTGACATTACAGTGAAGCAACAGTGAAGAAATTCCATCACACACTGATTGTCTGCAAGCAGTCCAAGTCCAGCTACATCCACTCCAAAATATCAAAGCACACAGCTAAAGGTGCTCTCTGTTGCATCGCTGGGTCTACCAGGTGAAAGCTCTGAGAAACTGAGAAAAGCCAGAGCCTCAAACCCACTGTGGGGAGAGGGTTGTAGTCTCATCAATAAATAAAAAATAATAGTGTCATTTGACAAGATTTATTTCCTGAACTAACCATCTCAGCTGTAGCTCATCAGACAATTTCTTAAGATGAATAGCATCTTTATAAGCTGGGACTGAAGGTTGTAGAGTTCTGTATACTTTTCCACAATGATGTTTCTGCTTATCAATTTTGACAACTACGATAGAAAAACATGTGCTGTAACCTGACAGAAGAACAGGTCAGGGTCCAGTAGCCTGGATATCTGCTGCTGTTGTGTGGCTGTACAAAACTAAAACCAGGGTTGACTAGAGCCCAACCAATACTGGATTTTGTGAGGCTGACTGATATTAATATGAAAGCCTAAACTCTATGATGACATATAATCTGATATTACTTTTTCGAAACATAAACACGTACACATTTGGTAAAAGTTTGGACTGTCACTTTTAAAAAAGGCCCGACGTCTCACTCCCAACTCGTCAAATATGGCAGCTTGGCCAGTGGCTCTCTGCTTCACACTATAACGCTCTAGGTAACCCCCTAGCAGCACTTTATGATTTGTCAGTCAGTTTTTATAGGAAACCTACAGTTTTTGCTTATAACAAGCATAGTGTCTTTTCAAAATAAAATTTGGTGTTCACAGGAAACTTATGTTTCAACTCAATACATGCATAGTGTCTTCAAAATAAATTTCTGTGGTCACAGGAAACTTAGTTTCTTCTCGATACATGCATAGTGTCTTTTCAAAATAAACTTTTGTATTAGCAGGGTACTTAATGTTTCTGCTTGTTACATGCATAGTGTCTTTTCAAAATAAACTTCCATGTTAGCAGGAAATTCAAAGTTCCCACTAGTTACAAACATAGTGTCTTTTCAAAATAAACTTCCTTGCTTACAGGAAACTTAAAGTTCGAACTCATTATACACTCAGTGTCTTTTCAAAATAAACTTCCATGTTCACAGGAAAGTTTAAAGTTTCCACTCATTACGCGCAAAGTGTCTTTTCAAAATAAACTTTGGTGTTCACAGAAAACTTAAAGCTCCTGCTCGTTGTATGCATAGTGTCTTTTCAAAATAAATATCGGGTTTCACAGGAAACTTACAATTTATTTGTTAAGTGCACAGTGTCTTTTCACAATAGTCTTCTGTGTTTACAGGAAATGTAGGTGTTTAGGTTTCAGTAGCAGTAGGTCTTGAAAAAGATCATGGTTTGGGTTCAAATAACACTGACTTTTGGTTTCACACAGGGCACAAACAGCGATCTTCTGGTTGAAAGTCCTGTGGTTTACATGTCCATCTGCATTGACTACTCCTCCCTATATGCACTTTCTTGCTCTTCATACCACGTCAGCTGCTCTGAGCGTCTAACAGGCCTATTGCTGTCGATGGGCTTACATTGGAGTTGGTTAAAAGCTGGTCATGAATCTGTATTTGACGACATGGGAATGAGAAAGAACAACACATCTGTGTCACCCACACGGCTGTTGTTTTTAATGTAATGGCTTAGAACTCATCTAAGGACTTGACATAATTCAGCAGAGCCTCACCCACTTTTAACCTGAGCAGGAGTCCAATCAGTGGGCAGGAGTGAAGACACCTGTGAGCATGTGCAACGCTATCTAAAAAGTCAATTATGAATAAATTCAAACTAACATTGAACTGAATTTATCTGAACAGAACCCATGTAGCCTTACCCTGAACAATGTTGTAGAATTGGCAGTCAAATTCAACATTCTTCTTCATACTTCTCAGATGGTTTGGTGTTCTGATTACCTGTTGTTCAGAACCCAAGCTGCCTTGTTACTGAGAACAGGGTATCAATAAATCAGTCACAGTGCTTTTCATAAAAGACACTGCCTGTTGTGCTTATATTACTGTCACTATTAAATTCTGACAGTAAAACACACAATTTTTCCCAAAATAAGTACATAAATAAAGATTAAAAAAGTAATAACATCCCTCAAAAAAATAAATAAATAAATGTGGTTATTAAATAACTGTTTAGAACCTTTTGGAACATTGCAACCAAAATTAAATGAAAAGTTGGCTCCCAGGTGGGACCAAAAAAGGATAGGAGGCTTTTCTTGGCCTAAAGTGCGAATGTTTTTTAAATCACTGGGTGTGTCTTATTCTACAGGATGGAAAGAGAGGGTGGAGTCTTGCACGTAACAGTCTTTTACATCTTCTTATCACTAATAGTTGGTCTGTGCTTGTTTTTTGGATAAAAACAGATATCTGTGACTACACTGAACAAAAATTTAGGTGCTACACTTTTGTTTTTACTCCCAATTTTTACAGGTTTAAGTTAATGATCCAAGATGTTTTTCATGCACTCAATAATTAAATTTCTCTCAAATTGTGGCTGCAAATTTGTTAAAATCCATGTTTGTGAGCACTTTTCTTTTTCCAAGTTAATTCATCCACCTGACAGATGTGGCATACCAAGATGCTGATTAAACAGCAAATCAAATCAAATCAACTTTATTTATATGGCACTTTTCATACAACAGTAACACAAAGTGCCTCACAGAGGTTAAACTCTTTAAAACTCGTTAAATAAGCATCATTACTACACAGGTGTGCTTTGGGATGATCGCAATAAAAGCAACTCTAAAATGTGCAGTTTGATCACACAAATCAAGCCCACACTTCCTAGGTCTTGAGGGAACGTGTCACTGGCATGCCGACTGCAGGAATATCCACCAGAGCTGTTGCCCATGAAATGAATGTTCATTTCACTACCATAAGATGTCTGATGTTCGTTAATTTGGCACTACATCAAACTGGCCTCACAACTGCAGACCACAACCATAACCACACAAGCTCAGGACCTCCACATCAAGTGACCTTACCTGTAAGATTGTCTGAGACCAGCCACCTGAACAGCTGATATAACAGTTGGTTTGCACAACCAAAGAATTTCAGCACAAACCATCAGAAACCGTCTAAGAGAAGCTCATCTGCATCATTATCCTCACCAGGGTATTAACCTGACAGCAGTTTGTCATCTTAACCGACTTGTGTGTTTGTGAGGCTGGTAAGCTGTAGTTCCAAATTCATGGAGACGGCTTTATGGTAGTGAAACATTCAGTTTACAGGCAACAGCTCTGGTGGACATTCCTGCAGTCAGCATGCAAATGACATGCTCCCTAAAAACCTGGGACACCTGTGTCAGCATCTTAATATGCCACACCTGTCAGGTGGATGGATTATCTTGGAAAAGGAGAAGTGCACACTAACATGAATTTTAACAAATTTGTGACTGAAATTTAAAAGAAATATATCTGTTGAGTGCATGAAAAATTCTGAGCTCTTTAACTTCAAACTGTAGAAAAAAGGGAGCAAAAAAAAAAAGTGTTGCATTTAAATTTTTGTTCATTACTATCAGTGGTAACAGCTCACAGGTCATCAATGTGATCTGACATCTTGCAACTACTGTTTACTTCCTTTGTGCATTGTGCAACACCCTCCATTGATGACACATCCGTGATTACATCAGTTTACTGACTAGCTACAAAATGCGGGCTAATTTGCTAGATAGCACCAAGGTTTCAAGAATCCTGAACAGAAGTGGTTCAAGAACCAGAGCTAGTTTAAAGGAAAACGACTATCAGTGGGACATTTTAAAATAAAAAAATAAACAGTGTTCTCTAGTGAACAAATGATGTGGTTCACTAGAGAATGCCAGTTTTAATTTACGTCAGTATATCTTTGGTATCCCTGTGCTGTACTGTGTTACGACAGAAGAGAAATATTTGTGATAAGATAAAGACAGCCTGTAATCTCAACCACGCCAACGTATTGGTAGGGCTCTAGGGGTGACTGTCTAGATGCATGTCATATGGCACTAGTGTGGTTTGTACTTAAAATGAGAGGTTTAACAAGCCTAATCTTTGTCCACAACCCATCTAAAAATGTCAAAAGGTAAACATCACACAATATTGCTGTAGGAACACAGTGCAATTAGCTTTTTTTCATCACTTGGGTATGCCCCACACATTCCCTTCTACACTTACACATTTATAAAGCCTAAATTGTAGATGAAAACATCACACTGCATCCTTTGAGGCTGCCGCTGCCGTGCGCAGGGCTCGGCCAGCTTGGTTTCCGGTGCGTTTCTTGCCGCGGGCCGGAGAGCTGGGGTTGGAGGCTGACATTCGGACGCTCCTCGCCCCATGACTCACCATGGTGGGGAGGAGGGAGGAGGATGGGGAGGGAGGGGAGGAGGAAGAAGAGGTGGGGGACAGGGAGGAAGAAGTGGACGAGGAGGAGGGTGAGGATGAAGAGTAGGAGGATGAAGAGTAGTAACTGTGTTGGGAGGTGGAGGTGGAGGTGGTGCTGGAGGTGGAGGTGGAGGTGGAGGTGGAGGTAGAGGTGAGGACGAGGCGGTGCTGGCGTTTGTTGCTGCTGCGAGGCCCGTGGTGGGCCTGGCTGACGTTAGCGTGGGATGGCGACAAGACGTGGCTGGACGAGGGAAGGAGACGACTCAGATTCAGAGATGGGATAAAAGACTTGTGAGGAGGAGGGGAGAAAGAGGGCGAGGATGGAGAGGGGGAGCGAGGCGGAGAGCCTGATGGAGAAACAGAGGAGTTTTTCACCAAGAAGGAAGAGGAGAGGGGACATAAGAAAGCCTGTTGCCGGGAATTCTGGGCCGAAGAAGGAGAAGACGGATGGGAAGGACACTTGGAAATGTTTGACGGGGGAGACAGAAGAGAGTGTTTCCCCAAGGGGGATGTGGAAGAAGCTGAAGGTGAAGAAGCAGAAGAGGAGGAAGAGGAGGAGAGGATTTGGAAGCTATCAGTGGTGTCTGAGCAGTGAGGAGTGGACAGAGAGGCAGACGGGTGTTTCCCGGAGCTATGGCACAAGGCTGGGATCTTAGAGGCACGCAAAGCAACGACAGAATGGTTACTATCCCCGGCTGCTCTACTGCTCCTGCTGTTAGCCTGTAAACACACACCACGGAACACGGCAAGTCAAAGCCAACAACACACAGCCCACATGAAAGAACACTCCATTTCAGCAATCATATCTGTTACTTCCATGGCTTTGGCCAGCCAATCCTTTTATTGAGGCTAGAAATGATACAGTCCACTCCTGTTTTTTAAGTGCCCACTCACAAGTTGGCACAGTGAAAACATCCTTACAAAGAGCATGTTTTTGTAAGGAAAAACATCCTTTTTGTGAAAGTTTGTGAAGCCTTTTTATACCTGGTATTAACATGGGTCTTGGGTGATCTGATCTCCAGACCACCAAGACACACTGTGACAAGTTTTTAATGACGAGTTCAACAACGTATTGCATGACTGTCCACTGTTTTGCCCTATGGAGGAAGATGTGTTGAATTCGAAAATTTACTAATGTTTCTGGGATTTAAGACAGACAATACAGTTTTGAAATTGGACAGTATTTGTTTAGGTCACTTTTTTTCTCCTCCTTTGTGCAAAGGAAAAACACAAGCCAACATCCATGCTTTAGGTATTATAGCCTACCAGTTGTATACCAGTGTGGATGTTACCGATATGATGTGTTGCAGACGTTTTGATCGTGATACCCTGTGATTAAATGTCAGTATTGTACGTCATGATAATGTTGGCATGAGAAGTTTGGAAGATGTTGGATTTCAGTTACTTAACAACACAACTTAAAACCAACAAAATATCAACGTCATCTGTCATCAGTATTCTATATCAAATGATGTCCTGACATTGAATTTTGGTCACTTGACATCACAACCTAAATTCAATCAAATATTGTTGACATTTGTCATAAGACTTTGATGGCCAGTTGGGCTGTACATGGTGCCCTTCGCAGAGATGGGGAATCAAGTCATTGTGACTTGGACTCGAGTTGACTCGAGTCGCTGTTTTGATGACTTGTGACTTGACTTGACAAAAAATAAAAGACTTGAGACTTGACTTGGACTTGGATGTTAAAGACTCGGGACTTGACTTGAGACACGATGAGTTGAATGACTTGAGTGTTATTCACATCATGTTTTCGGTTAGAATATAAAATTAATAAATTAATTTAAAAAATAATGTCGATTACCCGGTAGGAGCGCAGGCTGAGAATGGCGTTGCCATGATTGGATCACTACCCTGTCAATCAGTCATGCCCTCTCTACGTACCTTACGTGTTTATTGGAGAAACACACCCTCTTATATCAGATAGGCATCAACATGTCAGCGGGAGGCGTACCGAGAGTCATTGTCTTCGGCTTTCGGAATTACCATTATTACGGCAAAAGACGAACAGCACAGTGCAAGACATGCGGCATAAACATCTCGGACAGCCAGGCGACAACTTCAAACTTTGTTCGTCATTTGAAGAGCCATTCTGCCCAGTAAGTGCTTGTCAATTAGCTAATATTATCTGGTTAGTCGGTAGTTAGCTAACGTTAGCCTGATACGATACGGGGGTGGGTTGCTTTGGTGGAACTTGTTTATTTGCTAACATTAACCCCAGAAAACGTGAGCAAACATTCCGACCGGTTCATCACAAGACCGGCTGTACGTTTTATGAACAAGCAACACAGGGTTAAATGAGCTAAATGGGTGATTTTGGCCGCTGCCTTGGTTAGTGTGTGTATGTGTGTGTGTGTGTGTGTGTGTGTGCGCGCACACATGGAGGTCGTCCCTGCAAAGTAAACATTGCAGCGATAAAGTTAATGTTTACTCACAGTTACTTATATTTTGTCTTTTCACTTTATTAAGATCAGATTCTGCAGGTAAAATTACAATAATAAGGTGACTTGACTTGACCTATTACAGGACTTGACTTGACTTGATATAACCTGTGACTTGACTTGACTTGCCCAAGAAAAAAAGACTTGGGACTTACTTGAGACTTGAAGGTTAAGACTTGAGACTTACTTGAGCCTTGCACATGTGTGACTTGGTCCCATCTCTCGCCCTTTGACCTGGTAGCATAAGTGGTCAGACACATGACAGACTCAGGTGTGAACAGTGATGTCTCAACCTTCCACTTGTGTTTGCTTCACCGAAATGTATGTTAATACCAGGTGTAAACAGGCTTGTTGACATACTGATGGTCAGTATGTCAACAGTGTTGTGAGTCGCTCACCTGACAGTAAGTTAAGGTGTAAAGGAACTTAAGATGTGGTTAAGGTCAAAACAAGTACTTACTATGTGTCGTCAGATTTGTCTGAAGGTCAGAGTTTACAGTCCTGCATGAAAAGTTACTTGAGTAAAAATATGGCAAAATGTATCTGAAATTTCAAAACTAAAATTACTCTATGTAGAGAAATTATTATTGGATTCTTATTGTATACAACTAGCGATGTATTTGTCTGTATGTTGCATTTTACTGTTGTAGTTGGATGACACAGCAAATTTATCTCATATACTGCTGGGTAGTTTAGTCTCTAACAGTGCATCACATGTTATAAGCTCATCAGATACTATTTATATAAAATCTTTATTTGTAAAGTGACTGTAGCTGTCAAATAAATGCAGCACAGTAAAAAAGTACAATATTTTCACTCTGACATATAGTGGAATAGAAGTATTAAATGGCACTCTTAAAATATTCAAAAAAAGTAGAAGCACCAAAATTTGCACTTTAAGCTTTGGTTAGTAACGTCTATAACAACCTTCTGTCATATTTGCTGCAACTGGTAGCCTCGGTGAGTAAGCAGCTTCATTTTCGGTTTTTGGCTGATTGCACTTTCGTTTTTGTTTTTCCATCACATTTAACACAGGAACTCCTCTCTTTGGATATAAAGAATTCTGGATAAATGTTTTTTTTATGTTCATTTTCTTACTATGCTGGCCAAAGACACAGTAGTAACACACGACTGACAAAATGCAGTGTTATTTCCTCTCAGATTAATCAAGCTCAGTCCAGAAAAAGTAGAGATATTGTACTGGCGATTGATGACAGAAAATATAAAAATACATAAAATACTTTTTTCCTTCCATAAAACCTGGAATTGTTTTGTTATTACTTCAACATGTCATTAAAGATTTGACATTTGATTACATGAATCTCACTAAACAGTGGTGCCACTGAGCACAACATACATGCAGTACTTACAGGGTGACTCTTTGATGACAGAAATGTGATGGTTATCAACAATGGATGTTTCACCTGGATTATTAACATTTGTAAATGGTGGCTTCTCTGTGTCTGTGTTTGAGGAACGAACGTTTCTGAGTTTTTGATGCCCAATTAATATTTCCACAACTCACTGCCAGATGAAGAACAGCTGTACAGAGTAAACATGCAGGTTACATGCAAGTCAAGATCCACTCTCTGATCTAGAAACTCAATAGTCAACTATGTTGAGTTTGAAAATATTAACAGCTCATTTTGGAAGAGCATTGATGGTAATACAACAGAGTCGGAGAGTGTATCTTGAAGGAAGTGTGCCGAGGTGAGTAGGAATATGAATGCAGACACAAACAGACATATAGAATTTGAGGAAGACCCACAAAATAAGACAGATGTGCACCACCACAGAAATGACCTCAGTACATTTAAAATAGTCAAATCAATAAAAAAAAATACTCTTTGCTCCTTTTCCAAGCTATTGACTATTGGTGGTACCCAGTTCATCCTCATCTAAGCTACATAATAATAGGTACTCTTATAGATACCTACAAATAAGCTCAAGTAGTTTGTTAAAATTAAACACATCAATTTTGATGTCATTTCTAAAGACTGATTCTGTAGTTTAAGCAAATAAGAGGGGGATTTACACTTATTCATTTCACATGACTTAACCCAAATTGAAGCTTCTGCTTGCTACTTGCATGTTTTATAGGGACTAAGAGAGTAAACTAATGTTGGGTCAATATAATTATCTTTAAATGTGCAGCGAGAGTCTAGATTTTAAAATTCCTATAACTTCATTGTAAGCAAAGTCCACCTGAATTTTCAGAAAAGAGTTCTTTTAAACTGTAAACACCAGTCATTATTGCTTTTTCGAGAACAAGCCTTTGTTTATTTGGTTTGAGTAATGCTGATCACTGATGGGAGAGTTTAGTTTACCCTCTGTTATGCCGAGTTCACACTGCAAGCCTTTCAAAGTTGTCAGATTGCTGTACTGTTCACACTACACAACTCGCTGTCTTGTGATTGAGAGTTCCACACGTCCTTTTACGATTACCATTTACGACCTGTTTTCTCAAGGTGCAACATCAACTTTGGTCTGTGTTGCAAATACAACACAAACAGTTAACATCCTATTGTCATAGGTGACCCCTCCCCCAGGTTTCCACTCAACCTGTGTCTCACTGGCTACAGCTCGCCGACAGGTTCCCAACAGGTCCAGATATTTGACTTGCCGGGGTATCTGGGTGCATCTTTAAACAGCAAACACATAGAGCTTGAGCACTGATTTGCAAGTGCTGAGCCAAAGTCGGATTGGGTCTGATCTGGGACTTTTGTCAGGGAGCTCAAAAAACTGTTAGAGAGTGGAAAATCAGGGCTTAAGTTGTGTAGTATGAAGCAGGCATTGGGCAGTTGACAACAAAAGGTCAAAGTGTGTTAACCTGTTCTATTCAATCTAAAGAACACAAATCCAGTTGCCATTTGGTGGAGCAAAATAACTGTATATAAAGATGGATGACATGACAACTACCCAAAAGTGAAGCCAAAACATCTCGATTGCACGCATTAAATAAAACTTTCCCAACGATGGTTTCTGTAATTTTAAGTAGTTTTTATAATGCTGGGCCCGTATTCACAAAGATTCTCAGAGTCCTCTCAGAGAGCTCCTAACTTAGCCTAAAAATTCCTAGAAAGGAATCTTAGCTTAACAGTGATTCAAGAAGTTTTTGAGAGCAACTCTGAGCAAGGAGGGGACAGAAACTTTTATCTTAGTGAGGAGGTGTGGTTGACCCCGTTGCTAGGTATGACGCAGTCTTCTAAAAGCTGTGATTGGTTGTTACAAAAAGGGGAAAAAAAAAGAAAAACAAATGCTCTCCTAGTAATGAATGGACCGTGAAATCAACCGATCATAGAACTTAAGACTGTATTAAGAAATGTGTAATTGTGAAAATAATTTTATGTCATGATGATGAAACTCAGCAAAATTAGTTTAATTGTTACACAGCTTCAAAATGTTTGAACGTACCTCATTCACATGCCGATTATTATATTGATTTGCTTATTGTTATGTTTACTCGCCATGCTGGTAATTTTACTACTTAATCTATTTGATATTAATGGTGGACGCAGACTCAGCTGTCAGTAATTACTGTGATTGCTGGCCTCCTTGTAAAAAGCGGTTTGATTTGGCAGAATGACCAAAACAACGAATGAAATGGAGAAAAAAAGGACGAGAAAGCCGAACTGGACAGAAGAGCAGTGCCTGCTGTTGGCACGGCTTGTGGAGGAGAACAGAGGAGTTTTAAGAGGGAAATTTGGTCCCGGGATCATGGCACAAGGGAAGAGGCAGACTTGGGCGCACATTGCCCGACAAATCAATGCGTCGTTCTCTCTCCTTTTACGCACACGCAATGAGTGTGAGAAGCGCTGGTACGTGCTGCAATCCAAAGCGAGAGCGGAGACTGCAGCTCATCCCTGATGAGGTCAACTACAAACATTATTCCTGCACGATCAATCCGGTAGCGTCGTATTAAATCACTGTCGTTCAATATACGGAGAATATCTCTCCTTCCTCTCTGTCTTTCCGCCATCTTCTCTGTTTAAGACACTCTTAGGCTTCTTAAAAGTCCTCCTTCCTCCTCTTAACAGTTTTTCACCTTAGGAGCTCTCTTAAGGCCTAAGGTGCTTTGTGAATAACTTTTATCTTACCAAGGGAAAAATGATGTCACTAAGAGCTACTTTTAGTCTTAGGATTCTTTGTGAATACGGGCCCTGATGTTTAAGTGCTAATTTTTCTGATAAGTTTGGAAATTAGGTCAGAAAGGTGTTTGGGCAGGACCAGGACCAGCTGATTGCTACTGCACAGACTCTGGCTCCAAATGACGTCAGCAGCGCAGCAACAGAATCTGAGATATTTTGGCTTTATTTTAGTACAGTGTGAGGAAATGGAGACATGTTATCTATCTTTATATATAAACTATGGTGGACTCCCCTTAAGTCTCTGCTGTTTACGAGGTGCTATGTTCAGGTCTCTCAGAGTTAACTTACCTGGCTGGGCTGCTTCTGGGTGGCCTGCTGCTGACCCTTGGGTGTCTTCTCTGGTGAGCCAGAGGAGGAGGAGGAGTGGCGAGCCTTCATGTGGGATCGCTGAGCAGAGGAGCTGGAGGTGCTGCTGGAGCTCTACCAAGAATATGCATAAAGAAAAGGTAAGACTGGCTGGGACTGTGCTATAGTTGAAAAACGTGGGCGATAGATACAGCATTTGTATGAACAGCAACTCTGGCATAGAGAAACAGGCAAAGGCATAAGATCAAGCAGCAAATTCAGAGAAAAGATGACATCAACCATTGTATTCCAAGTTATTTAAAATAGCACACAGAGGTACGATGTACATTTGAGTGGTCTATACTGTTAGCAGTGTGGTATATCAGTCATCAATGGTGGTTGAAATTGGCAGGAAAATACTAATATTTTTTGATGATATCAATGATAATGTTCAACAATATTACGATATTGAGCAACACTATCAAAGATGTGATTGGATGCAAACAGGACTTTGTGCTGTGTAATGTGAATTGAGGCAAAGTTTCATCTGCCTGAGCTGCGTGAAGTGAATCATGGGAGGAAGGGATGTGGAGGGAAATAACAGAGAGAATTAAAGTTTCTTGTAGGTTTTGGAAACAGTCAGAGTTTGTAGTGTCATTCAAACAGAGCACATGGACACACTTGGTTGGTGTGTACATCAACTAGCTAGCTAAAGCTAATAGTTGTACAGTTGGTCCATTGCGGCAAATAAACAGACATTCCAGCGATCACATTTTGTGCGGATAACACATGCCGAAAACATGTTTGTTCTTCAGTCTCAAAACACATGTAGCTTTTTCTGTATTTGTCCCTTTTAGTGTCCAGAGAAAGTTGTATGTACCATCTTGTTTACTGCATTTGTCACTGAACCATAACTAGTCTCTTTCAAATAACCAGAGAGACTACAAAAAGCCATTCTTTGTAGAAAATACACTGAACCTTCAAGCTACATGGACAAACCAGTACAACGCCTCATTACCACTATATGGTTCAGCTCCACTCGACTCAACCCACGTTTGGTACCAGGTGCTTTTCTCAATGCATTTGCTCTTGCAGACAGTAAGTCAATGTACTGTAGGTGGGACTCTTAGGTGACTGTCATAACAACGCAACATGAAACCGCCATGACACCATCTTCAAGACCACACAGCATGTATTACTCCATCCTTTCACCAACAACCAAACAGTGGAGCAACTGCACTTTGTCATTTGACCACAGCATGGTTTTGTTAGCTGCCATTAGTTAAAATCTTGGTCGAGTCATTTAAAAAAATTGTGGTCGTTATTGACTATAGCTTGGCTATTTAAAAATGGTGGGTTTGTGCAGGATGTCCTGTGCTAGTGACGATCCTCTCTGACCAACCAGTGGTCTGCAGTTTTTAATTCCACCTTCTAGTATCAGCTTCGCTTGCTTGAAAATTAGGCTTGGGTGGTAGTTGTAAAAAGTACCAGGTACTATCCACAACTTTTGCCAATGGAAAACCAAAAAAAGAACAGTTCCAAGCCAGTTGAGTCAGGACGCACCGGTATCATACATCGGAAATGAGGCACAAGTCAATTTGTCCTTCCTGGTATGACTTACCACTTCCATTGCCTGAAAACACAGAATGACCGCTGGCTGTGAAATAATAGAATCACAGAACACAAAAGGTGTGTAGAGTCAGAGAGTCAGAGTAGAGAGCCCACCACCAGCCCAGCGTCACTGAAGCAAGCAAGCTCTGCAGGAAGAGGAACATCAGACCTGTTTCTTGGTGGAGGTTTTCCCTGTGTCCTGTGCAGGCTGCGGTTTGGCCCTCTTACTCTGAGGTGGATTTGGACCCTTGAGGATCTGAGAGGCCGGCCTCTTGGAAGGGCTTCTCTCCCTTTCTCGTTTGACTTTGCCTTTAAGCTGAGCTCTGTCAGTGGAGTCAAAGGAAGAATCTGGAGACTGAGGAGATGAAGACACAACACTGGAGGGGGAAGAAGGGGGAGAGATACTGTCCACACTGATTTCCAACTGTTTGATGGACTCTTCTAGACTGTCAATAGATTCAAACGCATTCTTGCAGAGCTTCTCTACCCGGGTATGTGACTTTGAGTCAGCAGAGGGAGGGGAGAACTTGAAGTCCCTGTCACAGGCATTGTCTTCACCAAAGTTGAACTGCTTGGTACTGTTGATCTCAAACCTCTTAGATTCTTTTGGCTGCTTCTTGGTCTCCTTCACTGGCTTGCTATCTGATGCTATCTCCTCCTCTTCTTCATAGACAACAACCTCAAGTGTTTTCTTTCCTGTTTTGGTTGTCCCTGTTCGAATGGCCTGGCTAATTGCAGCCAGTTTGTTTTTAGGGAACTTAAATTTGAATTTCCTTTTGGTCTCTGGCTTTTTAAGCAAGTCTGGTTTGCCCTGGTCTTGGTTTTTAGAAATTGTGCTGTTATCTGCTGAAGGTCTTTGGTGTTGCATATTTAGAGAATTGTGACCATTTCCTGTGGTGTCTTTAAGGTCAGAGCCTGTATCTATTTGGGTGATGCGAAATTTTCTCATGTCTTGTTTCTCGTCTTCCTGTATTGTGTCCTCTTCATCTACAATACTTTCTGCTGAGAGAATCCCATCAAGATCTTCCTCATATTCAAAGATGGTCGACAGACGCTTGTAGGCCGACTGAATGTCCATAGGTTCATTCAAAATAACGATAATAGGTTTCTTATCAAAGTCATCACTGTCATCAAAGCCTTCGTTCTCATGCCCCAGATAAGTGTGTTCACCGGTGCTGTCCTCAGATACAGTCTCTGTGTCAGGGGCACTCATTTTTCCTGGGTCTTCCTGTTTTTTCACTCTTGGACTCTTGCTCCTAGCGATTCTAAGGCTGATTTTACCAATCGGAGGTGGTGGAGGAGGAGGTCCCTCATTGTCTCCAGTATCGGGGCTCAGGCTACCTTCTTCTTCTGTGTATTGTGATTGGTCCCTGGATACTTGCACTGTTGCCCTCTGGTTCTGCTGCGTGCTGCTGTGGCTGCTAGTCAAGCTGGGTGAAACAGGTTGGTCCCTGGATACTTGCACTGTTGCCCCCTGGTTCTTTTGCTTGCTGCTGTGACTGTTAGTCAAGCTGGGTGAAGGGGATTGCTCTCTGGATACTTGCACTGATGCCCCTAGGTTCTGCTGCATGCTGCTGTGACTGTTAGTCAAGCTGGGTGAAGGATATTGCTCTCTGGATACTTGCACTGATGCCCCTAGGTTCTGCTGCATGCTGCTGTGGCTGTTAGTCAAGCTGGGTGAAGGAGATTGCTCTCTGGATACTTGCACTGTTGCCTCCTGGTTGTGCTGCTTGCTGCTGTGGCTGTTAGTCAAGCCGGATGAAAGAGGGGGGAGTTTAATGACAGGAGTAGAAGTTAAACACTCCTGATCAGGGCTCTGTGACTTATCCTGCTGGGACTCTATCAAGCTACCCTTTGGGGTGTTTTCTTTTTGTAAAGTTACAACTACCATCAAATTTGACTTCTTGTCAGCTGGTACCTCTTGGACAACTTTTTCATTCGTCTTGTCAGGACTCGTCAAGTCGGTAGCTTGGAAGTTTTCTTTTTGTAGAGTAACAATGGTTGTAAACTTGACCTTCTTTTCTGCCACGGTTGGGGAGCACACCTGTCCAACAACCCCCTTGTTAATCTGATCAGGACTTTTCACAGGAAGATCACTTTCTTTTGGCGAAGTTGTTACTGGAAGTATCTCCATCTTCTCTGCTTGCTTTTGGGTTAGTGTTGGTCCCTCCTCATTCTTCTGGACAGTCTGAACATCTTTTAAATTTACAGGTGTGGGTACCTCCAACTTCTCTACTGTTGCACAGTTAAAGGAAGACACTGGTATAATCACATTTTCCTTTGCTTCCTTCTTCTTATCAGGTTTTAAATAGTCTTTCTTAACCTCAATGTGTTCTTCCAGTCCAACTGCTGTTACGAATTTATGAGGGCAGCCATTTGTTTTTCTCGTTTGAGGAGCTGACAGGTGGTAAAATGCTGTTAACTCAGAAGGCTTCAGATTAGCCACCTGTGATGTCTGAGTTGTCCTCACCTCTCCTTTCCATTGCTTATTTCCACCTGGCAAATTATTCTTATCCGACAGTTCTGTTGTCACCTATAATTACAAAAGGCAATATTAAATACTTCATAATCTGAATATTAAGTATGATATATGTTGAATTTATTCTTTATATCCCAGTATTACTTAATAATACACAACCATTGTTTCACCATCAAAACCCATACATTTTTGGCTTGTCCCTGCTATGCTCCAAAAATTGCGTTGGCAGTTATTCAGACTCAAAACAGTGCAGGGGTTGTGTTGTTTCAGGTACCAATTTTAGTCACCACAATTGTGGGGTAAACAGTAAAAAATATGCAGTTCAATAAATAAGGTCATCCACCAGGAATGTTGCCATACATGTGTGTGACTAGCCAATACAATGTTTTGCCCAAGTAACATTGGCTGATATTGCAGTATACTATCACCTTCACCTTTACTTTTTTTGGGTTTTGTGACTTATGTTTACTCAAGTGTACATTTTAAACTAAATTTGATAGTACGGACTGCAGAATTGATTACTACTCCATGTTCAGATGCCTTTATTAACTACTCAGTTGACTAACAACTTGAAGTTCACTGGTAGTAACTGCATTGCAGAAAAAGGCTGGTGATACACATCTATCGCCAAAATTCCATTGCATGGAGCAGCTTGGTTTAACTCGACTAGATTTTCAAACCAGGTACTTTCCACTGCAGATGGTGCCCTCTACATGTGGGCCGGATTCTCAGCTGATCGTTTTTGTAATGTCACGTGAAACTGCCTTGACATCATCTTTAACATGACACGTGTGTTATTAGCTATGTAGGCAAGGCTTATGTGAGTGCTGCATTGTATTGTGGGTGTGCATGTTCACTCATAGTGCAATCGATCCCCGTTAAAAGAAAATGAAAGACTTAAGAAGACAAAGCAGGGTGGAGCGCCGAAGTTTATTAATCCAAAATAGCAGGTATAGAGTTTATAAAGTCCATATGACCAAAGATCCAGCAAAGACAATACAAGAACCACTGCAAGGTGGTAAAATGTGCAGGACAGTGATGAAAGAGTTAATCTGGCAGTCTGTGGCTACTGTTTTCCAAGAGGAAGAGAGACATGGAGATAATAGAATTATAGCACCAGTTGAGTTCCATGAATTTTTATTTTTTCAGTTTTATTTTTGTCAGTAAAATCAGAAATAAGATAAAAATCTGAGGGCCCTCTTAAAACAGTTCTGTCTTGTTAATGTGTTAGTGTGTAGACACTCTCACTATACATACTAACACCAGCTGTAAATGTGATCATTAGTGTATTTTGTTAAGGATAATTATTCTCCTCATCATTATTATTTATTAGAAATGTGTTTAATTATTTCTTGAGTTATGACCAATTGTATTTACCCTTGTAGTGCACACACATGGCTGAACAAAGCAGGCAAAGTGGGCAACCGCCCCTGGGTCCCAGACCCTCAGGGGGCCCAGCTCTCAGCCAATCTGTGTGGCGCTTACTTGTGGTACTTTGATTACTTACAAGTTTTCTTGGCAGTGTGCACCACTAAAGCACAAATCAAAGTGAAATAGTAAGGGCCCAAAGGTGGCTCCAGCATTTCTTTTAATACCTTTATTATTTCTGTTGATGCACATCCATGCACCTATCCATGGAAGAATGTGTGTGTGTGTGTGGGCATAACAGGGGTCCCTTTGTGGGTTAATTGAAACTTGAGTACACAGCTTTCCTTTGCAGTAAATTTTAGTTTGTTTCCCACCTGCCTGATTGTTTGGTGTTTCTTGACCTGTCACATTTATTTTTAGTGACATCACTGTTTTTTGTAACTGATATATAGACAGAGCGACAGAGCAATAAGGAAGTGATTAGTCAATATAAAGGCCTCAATGATGTTAATCCAGGAGTGTTAGCTGTTATGAGTTAGAAGCAAGAATATATTCACTGCAAACCACAAGGTGAGCAAACCCAATTTAGTCAGGTGAGCAACCATCTAATTTGCTTCATTAATGTTAACTATAATGTAGGAATAGGATTGATTCCATAACAAAAGCTCCATCTAGTGGATCATTTCAATCTTAGGGTGCTTTCACACTTGGCATATACCAACACTGGAAGAGAACCCACACCCCTCTGAAGTGAACCATACTCAGACCACCTCCAGAGGTGGTCACTTCAAGTTCGCGGTGAGGTTCGCTAAACCTGTGCCTTGTGAACACAAAGCACTCCAGGTTCACTTTGCTCTTTGCCATTGTATTTAGCCCTCTAGATCACATGCTGTTGCACTGGGATGCCTGATAAAACCACTACACCACGTCTGCCTGTAACGTTTGCAAGGACGCAGGACAAGGAGTAGTTTGGTCTATAGAAGATAGTGCACATCTCCAGATGTGGAATGCAGAATATATTTAATGGCAACAGTCTACAGCACACAGAAATGCTAAGGTTTTCATCCAATTTTAAGTACATCTGAAAGCGAGGGGCTTCATAACCACACTGCAGTGCCATGTCAGATTAAAAACAAAACTATATCAATATATTCTAGGCTATAGTGTGGACAGAGAGAGGACTGAGGCTCCATCAGAGCTGGAGATGACCAGAAAGAGAACTGAGTCCTAAAATGAACTGACAATGTGAACACAAAAAGAACTGAGTCCCTTTTCTGTTGTTCCACTTTTTGGTCCACTTTAAAAGGACTGAGTTCGGTTCATTTAAAAAGGACTAAATGTGAAAACACCCTTAGGGGCCGTTCAGATGTAGCGTCTTTTGCGCGCACAAATCCATTAGTTTCGATGTAGACGCGTGTCAAGCACGCTCACAATCCAAAGCCACGCCGTAGCGGCACGCATTCGGAGCGACGCGCCTGTTTTTTCGTGTGCGTCCGTGGCACACAGAGATGGAAAATTCTCAACTTTTTCAAATGCAGCAAGCGCACTGCATGTCATGTGATAAGAATTAACCAATCAGCTCCACGGACCTGCTTCTTCCTTTCCGTCCAAGGGACTTCACAACATCCAGTGGTGTGAAAGGCAGCAAACAATGGAGGAGCGACTTATCATTCTTCTCCAGGGATACCCAGAGTTATATGACCTGTCTTCGTCGTACTACTTTGACTCCAACAGAAGGAACAATGCCTGGAGAATTATCAGCTTGGAGCTTGGGATAACTGGTGAGCATGATGATAGCTAGTTTTTGTAAACTTTGTAACTTTTTTACTCCCTATGAGTGACAGGCGGCTTTGGTTGCTTAGTAACGGCAGGCGCGACAGTAGCACAACCTCCGAAGCGCCTTGGATAAAAGGATGGAAACGGCACAGCTGGCGTTTTCCATGCACTTTTAGACGCTACATCTGAATGGGGCCTTAAATGCTCTTGCATGTATTTGCTTGTCATAAAAAGTGAATCATATAATATCCTATGACAGTGGTTCCCTACTGGTGTGTCGCGGTCCAGTGGGTTGTGGGTCCATTCTGAATGGACCGCAAGTGTTTTGTGAACATGTCAAGTTCATAATAAACACACTTTATTTTTAAGTACAGTGAATTTCTGGCAAAGAGCTTTTGAAAAGAGCCATTCTGTATAATGATTACTTTTGATACTTTCAGTACATTTTGCTGGTAATACTTCTGTACTCAAGTAAGATTTTGAATGTAGGACTTCTACTTATAATGTAGCATTTTTAAACTATGGTTTTCAGAGGTGGAAGTAAGTCTCATATGTTAAAGTCACAAGCAAGTCCCAAGTTATTGTGGTGAGAAGCAAGCAAATCAAGACATGAAATTTCGATGAATGAAAACTAATATTAGATTGGTAAATGAGCTAATAAATTAGCTAAAAAGACATTCACATACCATTTTTGTAAGATGGATAAAGTTGGATACTGTAGTTGTGTCACTAATTTTGAGTGGCAGATCTTGCATACCAATGTTCTCTTCTTACTACTGTCATTGACAAAATAACCCTTGAATCAAAATTCTATTATTTCTGGACTGTTTTCCTCCATGATAACTTGTGCATTGGCCTCTGCTGGTCTGCTACGTCAATATCTAATAGCAAGTAACTGGTTAAAGAAACAGTGGGTTTAGATTAGTAAGAGATGGTTAATTACAACACAAGTTCAGAATTTTAACTCAGTGAGGACTAAAACAAAGACAGTTGCTTTTCCAGAACCCAGTGATGTTGAGTTTACATCAAAATAAAAAGCAGCTGACTTTTTCTAAACGTGCACTTAACACTTCGGGCAGCCAAATTTTGAGACTCGAGTTAAAGGTCTGCTGTGGATACTGAGTTGTTAATGATTAGTGTTGTTAGACTTTGTTTTCCCTTTCTTTTTACCTGAGACTCAATCTCTCTGCTCTGGAGCTCAGAGGCTGAGAGTTCAACCATACCTCTGCTCCCTACATCTCTCACAGTGCATTTCTGAAACACCTGGGTGAAAAGGGCAGAGGGTCCATGGTGAGGGTTAACGTTGTATTCAGAGACAGGGGTGGGGTCAGAGGCACAAGAATGCAGTGGATGCTGAATACCTTTTACTTTAAAGTGTTCATGATATCAAATTTAACTTGAACATACTGGACGAACATTTGATCTGCTCAGGTTTTAAAAGACAGCAAATTAGTTAACATACCTGCAGCTCTTTCATGAATTTGTTGTCCTCCTCCTCTTCCTCCTCGTCCCCCCTGTGCGCTGAGGATGTTGAAGCAGTGGAGGTGGAACTAGCGGGAGGTGCAGGAGCACACATCTGGGGCTTGGGTTTGACCTCTGGTGGCTGTCTTGGGGGCTTAGGCTGAGAAACCACAGGCGGTCCTTTGTCTTTCTCCTTCCCACCCTCGTCCTTTAACACATTCATCAAGTAAAAACACAGCATAAATTAAATGAACCACTTCGATGTTGATTTGGTTGCTGTTTTTTAAGAAGGGGCACAGCCTTTAGTTTTGTTATTTGTATTATCAATCAGTCAAACTTTATTTATATAGCACTTTTCATACAAAAATAATGCTACACAAAGTACTTCACACAATAAAAACAAAAACAATAGCCCAGATCCGTCAATAAATAAGTAAATAAATAAATAGATAAGTGATGAAATAGATGAATGTGCCAGCTAAAAAGAGAGATTAACAAAAATAAATATACAAATACACAATAATCATAAATACAAAATTAAAAAACATAATAAAAACAATTTAATTCATTAAAATAATAACAATAATAATAATAATAAAGGACATTTGAATTAAAAGCCAGGCTAAAAAGGTAGGTCTTGAGTTTGCTTTTAAAAACATCAACACTCTCTGCGGCCCTCAGGTCTTCAGACAGGCTGTTCCACAGACGTAGACCATTGTTTTTGTTTTCTTATCATTATTATTACATGTAGATAATAACTTTATTAGAGTCTCTGGAGACTAATCATAAAAATTCCATTTCAAGGGATACTACATTAAGCAGTACATTTAAAATCAATAATAATCTGTTGTTGTTAAAGCTAAAGATACAGCATGTGACGAGCTTGAAATAATGCTGTGAAAAGCCCTTGGTCTTTACTTTGGCTGCTAACATTAAGATAACGTTACTTTCACAGACAGTCAGGAGAAACCGCTGCTCAGCCCTGAATGCTCCATAAGTCCACGCTTAAAGGGAGAGTTTGGATCTTCTGAAGTGGGGGTGTATGAGGTACTCCACAGTCAGTGTATTACATACAGTAGTTGTCAGTCGGCACGCTCCCAGTTTGGAGGAACAGGCTGGAGTCTGACACAGAAGCTACGCAATGTACTGCTGTGGGCGAGGCAACAGTCCACAGCAGTAAAATGGATTTTAGCATCCTAACAAAAAATCCTGCCGCAACTCGAATTACCGCCTCAAAGTTGTATGCCTCCATGCACCAGTAAAGTTGCACAGTCAGAATGTTATTAAGTTCCAGCTCGTTTAATCCTGTTATGCAGTTTACAGTGTTCATAATTAGACATAGAGTGCCAAGAGCAGGAAAAATATGACACTGTAAAATATTTCAAATATAAATCTAGACTTCTACTTGCAAGCTTGGACTTTGGACACTTACATTTTTCTGTTTGTAATCATGCTATGCTTTTAAATGTATCCACAGTATTCACAGATTTGCGCCTGCTCACACACATACCTGGGCTCCAAGCAGCTCTTTCCTGGTGGTGATAATCACCTCCCCTGACCTTCCTGTGGTCAGACCTGAGCTGACAGCATGGAACCTGGGAAGACAATAATAAAGATGATAATAATAATGCATTCATGGTGATTTATAGATGTTAGACTTTAAAAGGCCACCCACAAGCCATCCTGAGTGACGAACTGACCTTCGTGGAGGAGGTGGAGGAGGAGACTTGCCAGCCCTGTCTGGACTCTGCTTCATCTCTCTGTCCACACTGGTGCGCCGGGGTTTCTCCACCTGTGGCCGGCTGCTGCGCTCTGTGCTGGGAGAGGCTGAAGGCAGGGCTGTGGGAGCAGTTGAGGGAGCAGCTGAGGGAGCAGCTGTGGGAGCAGCTAATGGAGAAGCTGAAGGAGGAGGCTCCACAGCTGCTGCAGGAAGCTGTGAGACTGCAGCTGGAGCTAAACATATCCAAACAGAGTGTTGTCGTTTAGTTCTAGTTGTCAAAAATATGTGAGTGAGTGAACCACTTACGGCCACAAACAAATAAACAGCGGCCACCTAATGTATCCACAGTGTCAGTATGTTTCAGCAAGCAGAGTGGCTCTGCTGTTTGTCTCTATCATAGCAACACTTGTCAGCTGCACCATGCCTTTAAAGAGCTGCTGTTGGCTAACAACTGTATTTCAGAGGTCATTTAAGTCTTTTATTCATGCTGTCAGACACAGGAAAATATAAAGATTGGGTCTGGACCCTCTACAGGCAGACATAATATCCAATGATAGATTGGGAGTGTGGACAAAACCACAAGAAAAAAGATATAACATACAAGAATATGATTGTTTGAATTTCTTTGTCCACACCAGTCTCATACCTGTGTGTGGGGGTTGTGGCTCGGTGGAGTCCACCTCCTCACTCAGCTGGGGAGGTGTGTCTCCCTGGGAGTCAGACAGAGGGGCTTGCTGCTCCACTGAGGCTGCAGCACAAACACACACATGGACTGTGTTTAGATCATATCTAAACAAAAAGGTTAATAGATTTTCGTAATATTAAAACAGCAATCACCATATAAAACACTTTAGACATTAACAAATATAACTAATGGAGAAAATATGTCTGATTTATATTGTCCAATGATGATCCAATGTTTTTTTTTCTTTTTCAGATCGATAAACAGGCACTTGATGAACAAACTAAGCTAAACTCATACATCCACTGTCATATTCATACGTGCCAATGTACATAGTTATTAATCACACTGTATATCTTTCGCCAAAGTTGGGGATTTGAAATAAAAATATATAAAAATAATATCTTGATATTTTTATCGTGATAGACAACATCTCGATATATTAAGATATATATCTCAATATTTTCAGCTCTCCTCTAAACTACTGTAGACTACTAATATACAAAATTATTAAAGGAACTACAGTTATAATAAAGTTAAATAAAGTAGCTACTGTCATAATAAAGTTAAATTTAGTGTTATAATTAAGTTGAAATAAAATACTGTTATAATAAAGTTAAATGAAGTAGTTACTGTAATAATGAAGTTAAATAAAGTACTGTTATAATTAAGTTAAATAAAGTATTGTTATAATAAATAAATCAAAGCAGAACCACTGGTGCTTTAATTTTGAAGTGCCTGGCTTGTCTCGGGCTGGAAGTCTTAATGTTTCTGCTCTGAACTTGAAGCTTCTGGTCAACAGTTCCCGCTGCACCTTTTAATATGATGATTTATTTACTATGAGCTGGAAACAAACACACCGCTCTCCAGTTCATATCTTAATAACATTTGCAAATTGCAGTGCTTTTCCATGGTCACAAAATGCGACCGAATAGTGGCGGTCTGGAGCCCTGCAGAGCGGACACATGCTTCGCCTGCTTACACACTATTGCTCAGGAGAAAGTGATCTGGATGGGTGGGGTGTGTGATGTATCATGTTTGTGAGTCTTTCTTTGTGTTTGTGAATCTGTGAGAGAGCCACAAGAAAGAGCAAGAAAAGTGAAAGCTGGTGGCTTAAAGAAAATGACGTGACAGTTTGTATTCAATGTTCTCGACATATTCATTTTACACATCCCGCGTGGAACAAGCCGCAATGCATCAAGTATATGCAAATCGCCCACCCATATTTAAAACTATTCAGATTAGCTAAAGGAGAAAATGATCCTCCATTGGCTGAGACAATTCTCCAACTACTTAGGATAAAGAAACCATTGGACTGTTCATCACAAAACTTAAAACAGGGCTGTTTTTCTTAGCTCATGACAAGTTGACGTTTGGAGATACATGGTTTTCACAGGACTGATAATATTGTGTCATGTCTGCCTTTTTACTCTTACGGTACGTGACTTTCTTATGATGTACTGCAGCTTTTAACGAGAGGCAACTAAAGCTACTTTTACTTGTAAAACTCATCATTCTGTCATCTATTAAGGAACTTTTGACATCATGCAAGAACCACTGGTACAAACAGAGGTCTGAAGTAGCACTGATGTGTGAGTTAAGAGAGTTAAGATTCGAAGACAGTTAAGATTTGTTACATACAATGATCTTCCTTTATCCAAAATTTCACGAGTTTAAATATAAGTTTAAATGATCGAAATCAATTCAAATAAAACATATAACTACTGAAAAAAAAACCTTGTAAACATGCAAAATGTGTATCCATACTGTTTGTCAATTTACTGAGAGGTTCAACAAGGGTACTATCTTTTGTTGTTGAGATTTTGTTGGCATATTTTTGAATGGAAACAGTTAAGTAGTTGTTAGAAAAAAAAATCTGCTCTTCCTGAATCTGATGACAAACACATGTATGTGCAAACCTCACAGAAAAAAGTCAGATTAAGTATAAGAATAAGACAGTGTTGTTGCATGAGGCCCAATGTGTTTTCAGTGAATGGTCAACCTTGCAGTGTCAGGTCCAGAGCTGTGTCCTGCTCTGACTTTGATGCAGTGGAGGTCATCTGTCCTGAGGCAGAATCAGAGGAATCCTCTCTGGTATCTGACACATTCAGATCTGGGATGGACTTCATCAGGTTGGCCTGGGCCTCCTGGAGTTCCTGGTCAAAGTTTGTGTTGGTGCTGGGGGGTGGAGACTGACTAGAGTCAACACTGGCTGGCTGGTTGGCTTGGCTGGTGTTGGACTGATCCACACTGCCAGTTTCTACCGTCTGGCTGTTCTCTGGAGTTTGTCTTTCTGTAGTCTGAGGAGGACACACAGGGTCTCACAGTTAATGATAGGTGGGGATCTGTTAAAACTATCAATAGGCCTGAAACTGAGGGAGAAATCTCACCTAAAGATTAGTACAAACTACCAAGTCCTCCAACTTGTGCAACAACATAGGCTGTTTTCTAAATAAGCGCCCCTAACGATGGCAGGAGATCAACATGTCCTGATACCTGAACATCAGAGCAGGTCATATATGACCGTTAACAGCAGTTTTAAACATGTGGTTAATGTTATGAAACAGTAGCAGTTGCACCAAAACTACTTGCTTAGGTATAGACAAAAGATCATTGTTTGGCTTACAATAAACACGTTGGTTAACGTAACTTAACTTACGTACACCTGTTAACTATGTAACGTTACATATGTCATGTGATATATATCACATGACACTATGTAGTTAACTAGGTTACGTTGTTTTAATATCTTAACATTTATTTTTAGCTTCACACGAGACACAAACAGTGGTCTTCTTGGTGAAAGTGCTATGTTTGTTTGGTCCATAGACTGTAAAATAAAGATGAAGGATATGACAGCTCCCCAAAAGTGAGACTAAAACATCCCACTTGCTACTTGATGGCTGGCTACAGTAGAGGTTATAAACCTCGGCCAATGTTAGCAGATAGGACATGGGCCAAACAAAAAACTCTAAGTATACCTCAAAGGGATTTTTCTCAAAGATGGTTTCTGTAATTTTAGTTCTTATTATTCTGATATGTTCAAGTGTTCGTTTTGCTAATAAGTTTGTTTATATCTAGTAATTTGATGTTAAAAAAGGGGGACTGAGGTCATGCTTAACATCTGTGTGTGCCAATGGGTGTGCTTGTTATCTAGGGTGCTGCTGGGGATTGGTCGAACAGGTGTTTGCACAGGAACTCGATATCCATCCAGATTGCTACTGTACAGACTCTGGCTCCAAATGATGTCACCAGCATACGTTGGCAGCGGCCATATCCCAGATATTTTTGCTTCATTTTTGTAAAGTGGGGGTAAATGAAGACGTGTCATCCATCTTTCTATATAGTTTGGTTTGGCCTATCTACCACCCCAACCTCCTCTCTAAACAGACTTAGTCGCTCTTAATGCTATATCACATGACTTCCTCCGTTGCTCCCGTTATAACTATTAGGGCCACTACTGGTTGCCTTCTAACAATAAACATAAATATGGGTCGTAATACGCTGCTTGAACAACTACAAACAACCTATGTCGAGGGCGTTACAAACTTTTTCAATGGGGGCCAGATAAGACAATATGAAAATAACTGGGGGCCAGCTGCGTCATCATACAGGTTTAAATACATAAATAAATAAATAAATAAATAAATGCAACTGTTTCATCTTTCAGTAGAAAAGTATTCAACTTTTCCCTGCTTCTGAAAGTGGCAACCCTCGCTGGCAACTTCATGCTTCTTTGCTGTTGCCATGTCTGCTATATCTAACAGGAAATGCCTGCTGTTAGGTCACTGTTAGTTTGCTAATTTACCATGTGTTAATGAAAACTCATTCGATGCATCTGTGTAGTTCCTACTTGGTGTATGTCTACAAACTGCATGATAGTCCTGCCATTGTGCGGTGAGCAAAAAGACATGCAAATTGGACTTAATCAACCAGTACTGTGTGGTGGGCCACATACAGTATATTTTGAAAGACAAGTTGCGTGCCATTTAAATTCACGCAGGGTTTCTATTGGCCTGCAGACTTATGGAATAACACAGTAAATACAAGAAGTCATCGTAACTAACCATCTAAATATCAATGGAGTGTAGACTTTCAGGGCTCAAAAACATATTAGCAAAGTGGGCGGAGCCAGTGGTTTTACAAGTAGTTTACTTTCTGCAGCCACCCCGATGATCCTCAACACATAACTAAGCAAAACTCATTGATATGTAAACAATATGGGGTCATAATTTTACAATCACTTATAAATGTTTCAACTTCCTCTTGGAGAAGTCCAACTTTTGGAGACATTATTACAGCTATCTGATCTTTAAATAAAACCTGGGTAATTCTTCCTTAAAACAATGGGCCCTATGGGTGTGCCAAGTATGATTCCTGATGGCAAGCTTCTGAAGATATAGCATTTTAAAAGTTTGAGTACATATCCAAAGACATGCATGTTAGGTTAACTGCTCACTCTAAATTGGCTGTAGGTGTGAACATGAGCATGAACTGTTGTCTGTCTGTATTCAAATAAACACAAGACGTTTGTGCTCTAGAGAAAGGATCAGCACTCAGTGAATAACCTCCTAAGCACTATGATAAGCTATTATGGCAAGGCCTGTCTGTATGTGTTAGTCTGGCGACCTGTCCTCTCACCTCTCACCCAGTGACAGCTGGAATAGGCTCCAGCACACCCTAACAGGAAAGGCGGTTACAGATAATGACTGAATTAATGAGTTTGAGTAATGTCTCGAGCGCCCACTCAATAATCAGCCTTGTAATGCCAAAACATTAGAGGAATGAAACAGAATAACAGGGAGTGAGTATATATTGAACACTGACCTCAGTATGTGTCTCTGTGTGTTTTACGGTGGTCTGTTCAGTGTGGCTCTCCTGTGGGCCCGGTCTCTTCTGCAGGGCAGGGCTGCCCTCTCTGCTGCGAGGACTCACCTTCACAACACAACAACATTTCTTACATTCTACACAACAGGCTGTTTCCTAACAAAAACACCTGTTTATACACACTGTCTCACATTTTGTGATTTTATAATCATTCAGCAAATGGACCAATCATCAGTGCAGTACCTTGGCCACAGTGGGTGAGTCTCGTCCATGGGTGGGTGTCAGTGGGGGGCTGGGGTGATGATGGGAGGGCTGGATCACTGTTGCTGCTGCGTTCATTCTGCGGGCCATGACAGGGGAGGCTGAGCCCGCTGGACTGACCTCAGCCTGACTCCCAGAGAGAGGCGGGTTGGGAAGAGGAGCTCTGACCAAGGATCTAGGCTGAGGTTTGGGGGAGCTCTGGGGGCTCTGGGTCTTCAGGGGTCCCTGATCTGTTTCCAGCACCTTTAGAGGCTCCACCTGAGCTGATCTGGCTGGGGGGGTTGACTCTGATACACACCTGTTGATAACAAGAAGGACAAAGACATCCATCAGGATTATTTCCCTGTTAAACATAACTGTTTTACTTCTGAGTGAAGTTAATGAGCACCTGCGGAGAGAACTGAGAGCTTCAGTCAGGGCTTTAACCCTCTTCAGCATGGAGTCCATCTTATGTGGCTCCTCCTTCAGGAAACGCACTGCCTCCACCTCCAGCCTCAGCACTGAGCGCATCTTCACCTGTAGCTCTGGAAACTCACCTGTAATACCACCAAATGAAATGTAAAAATACATTTACTCTGTGTTAACTTTATAAAACTGCATATCACCATGTTTATTAAGTTAATAATGAATTCTAGTGGTCCTGCAACCCTGAACACAATAGGCTGGTCGGGTGATAAGTGGATACAAATGAGAGACATTAAAGTATATTGTCAGCTTATTATTATCATGGGAATGAGAGAGATGGACAACCCAAAAACATAACACCTCTGGCCATGGGTATTGCTGGCATTGAGGCATAACAAGAGTTGCAGGCCAGGGTCCTAATTAGGTGTGGGAAACTTGCAAACCAGCCTCCTCCTGTAAGTATTCTTTCAGCTAATGTCCAGTCACTGGATAATAAGCTGGATAAACTCAGGAGTATGCTGGCCTTTTAATGTGACATTATGGTTCTCACTGAGACTTGGCACCGCCCTTAGATCCCAGACTTGGCCATTGCTCCAGCAGGGGTCTCAATTCACTGCCAGGACTGGACAAATGAATCAGGGAAGACCAAGGGGCGGAGGAGTCTGCTTCATGATCAACAACCAGTGGTGATCATTTCTACAGGCTCCTCTCTTAATCTAATGATCAGATACCTCATTATAGTTTTTATTAGTCGTCCTTACAGCGATGTACATTAACAGCACAATAACTAGACACTTGACGAGCTGTATGGCGCTAGTGACAGGACAGAGACCTCATGTCCAGGGGCTGCTTTTTTTGAGAATGCCAAGTCCTGCAAAGATATAAACACATCAGCTGTCCTGTGTGTGTTGGTAACGCACTTGACTAGGCTTGTGCGGTATGTATTTTTTCATATCTTCACACCTTCCTGACATTTCACCAGGATGTACAGCATATGATGGTATTTGTGTAAAAACAAACAAAAGAAAAGTAAAATCTTAGCTTTTGGTGACAGAAGTCAATGTAGCATGTATGTCACTGTCTACAAGTCTGTTTCTGATATGCTATTAGTCTGCTTAGATAAGCCTTGCTGGGTTTAAATACTTGTGGCCCACAGAATAATGAATATATGAGTGCACTCATTGCTAGAGGACCCACTGACATGCTGCAGCAGATACCTACACATCAGTGGGCTGAACTGAGATGATCCACTGAAAAAAAAATAAAATAAAATGGCTAATAAACTGCATTTCTAGTTGAAAGAAGTCAACCTAATATAAAGTTATATGTGGCAATACTCCCAAACACGAGCGGTGGCATTTTTCTTATTTACTATTCCTGTAAATTTATCTCCACAACTCACAGTCTTTCTCAGCTCAGCTGCCTGTTCCACCAGATCCAGTGCCAAGAGAACAATACAGGGACAAAGTTGAGTTTAACCACTATGGCTCCAGACTACTAGAAAAAACTAAACTTCAGTCAAAGATGGACAGAAGTAGCTGTCAATCATAGTCTTCAGCTTTCTTTTGATTCATGGACAAGTGTCATGATTACATTTACATCCAGTGTACCGATCCAACACAAATTATTACATGTTTTAATCAGCCAATAGAGATATACTGTTTGAATCAGTACTGTATGCTTGATACAACCCAGACCCACCAACCTTTAAGGATGGCCAGAGTTTCTCCAACGCTCCGCAGGTTGACTGCTCCCTCCTCCACGTCTCTCAGAGTGATTGATGGCTGGTTGGCACTGGAGGCGGAGCTTTGTTGCAAATGGTCCACATAGTCCTCCAGTTCACTGAAAGGTGAAAAAGACAAAAATCTTGAGGAATTAACGGTCAGCGCAGGCAGAAGAATTAACTATGTAATAGCTGCTGTAAACACAAGATGGCAGCAGAGAACACACTTGAGGGGTTCCATAGTTCTGTTGGTTCTGTCAGGTTAAAATAAATAAATAAATAAATTACATATTTCATTATATTATATTTAAAAAGCCACTTCTAGTTTTAGCCCTACAGACTGAGAACCCTTTTAGGTTAAGAGCATATCATCCTGATTTTCAGTATACTGACTGAGTCTGTTCAGATACCTTTCGGACTGGTTGCCCATACCCACACAGTTGTCTGCAGGTGCATATAATTCAACAAAAAAGGTATTGTGCTTTCAAGTTATTACACATTGTATTGTACCATCATTAATTACTAAATAGGTATAATTCATCTGCACTTCTTTCTTTTTTTTTATTAAGTGTTTTTGTACTTTCATCATCTTTCATACTGCTACACTGCCAGTACAATGCACTCAAGCAGACACATGCCCTGCCATGGGGTCCAATTATGATGAAAAACATGGGAAAGTGCAGATGGGAGGAACAGCAAATTCCACATCCACAATGTTCTAACCTGCCAGGTCATTTGATTTGATTTTAGCAGTATATTTGAATTTGATTTCAACCTCATCGGAATGTCTTCATCTTTCACAAAGAAGATTTCTTACTCTTAACAGTGTGCATAACCAGATGAATGGCTTATTTGACAACCAGACAGCATGACTTCTTTCCCCTTGTCCTACCTGCCCCAAATGACCCAAACAGATATGTGCCCAGTGGAATTATCACCTGTGTGGGAAATGTGAAGCAGCGCATTATGTCAAATTAAATTTGTGTCATTTTCTGGTTCTGCAGCTGTGTAAAGCAGTTGTTGCCCACGATTTCTTTTTTACAATTTAAAAGACCAATGGGTATGAACTCTATTGATATTCATGTACATACAAAATGATTAGACGCACAGGTTTCTCTGCAGGATATATAATGTACATACACTGAGCTAATTAAGGTCAACTTCACTTTCATGGTTCAGCATGAAGGAAAAATTCCCTCTTTGCTTGTTACTACATTGACTGAGATGGCTAATGTGGGCATTGATGATATTGCACATCATTAACTGCTCAGTTCCTGCTCATACTATGGCCTCTCAGAGCAGCATTACAGCGCTGCTGGTTTTAATATATGTCATCATTTTAAAATCCATTTAAACTATCAGAACATATGATGCAAGCTGGTACTTAGTCCTTGTTTTGGTTCGGATTAGTCTTTGTAGGGCCTACAGTGACCTGTAAAGGCACTGGTCATGGAATTTATGTGATTTTAGTTTAGTTAGTTACAGATTTTAGTTACAGCTAACTGTACAGAGTTCAAGTCTGATCCCTGTTGTGGCTGGTTGGAAGTACCTCACACCAGGAGGGTTCTGGTTTGGAACCCTGGGCCCTACTGTGTGGAGTTAACGCATTTTCTCAGCGTGGGTTTGCTTTCTCCCACAGTCTTAAGACATGGTTATTGCCCGTGGGTGTAAATGTGAGCGTGAATGGCTGTCTGTCTCTATGTGTCGGCCTGTCCAAGGTGTACCCGCCTCTCGCCCAATGTCAGCTGGGATCAGCTCCAACCCCCCCGCGACCTTGTAAAGGATAAGTGCAAGATAAAGGATAGATGGAAGCCCTTTTCTAGAATTCACTGCCCTCATCTCAGTTTTTTTCAAATAAAGCAGGTCTAGTGTTGTGCTTACTGATGACTGCTTTCCTTTGTAGAAAAACAACTGACCAATCAGAGCTTTATAGGCAGGGTTATAAATGGGAATGCCATCTCCCTAAACCAGAGCCAGCTAAAATAAACACAATTAGGCTTTTTACAATGCATTCTCTTAGCCCAGGGCTAAGGATAGCCCAGGGCTAAAGTTGACTTTGGGCCAACTCAGCACCTTTATACCCAGGGTTAACCTGAGCCAAGGGCTATACCACTCACACTGCACTTCTACTAGCCCTGGGTTAAATGTGAGTTGGAACACATAACTCATGTTTATATTCTAAAACTATATTGTTTACTTCCACTGGGACCTTTTAGTTAAGTCTATTTTCAGGGGATAACCCTGTAAACCTGGGGCTAACCCTGCAAGCCCTAGGCTAAAGCCAGGGATATCCCACTTGGAATGTGTCAGGTTTGTGCTAGTATGAACATTTTTTGTTTTAGCTCCAAGCCAAACTCCCTTAGCCTAGGGCAAAGAGCAGGCCAGATGAGATATGAAATCCCTCCAGTGTATTCTGGGACTTCAAGATACTTGAACTCCTTGAGGTAGTAACTGTCTCCCAACCCAGACGGGGCAATCCACCATTTTTAGGTAGAGAACCATGGTCGCAGATTTGGAGGTGCTGACTCTAATCCTGATCGCTGCACACTCAGCTGCAAACAGTCCCATTGCCATGCTGGACGTCACAGTGTGATGAAGCCAACAGAACCATCTTATCTTCAAAAAGCAGAGGTCCCCAAACTGGACCCCTTCCTCCCCTGGCTGCGCCTTGGGATCCTGCTTAACTAAATATCGAATTGAATAATTTAGTGTAGCGTTTTGTAATTAAGATACAACAATTACGTTTTCAGTATGTATGAACTAAAACTTCAGTGGTATGTTGACAGCTTGCCTTTAGCTGAAATTCATAACTGACTAACAACAGAATTGTCTTTTCTTATCTTGTTTAAAATGATGTAGTGCTAATTCAATTAAACAGTGCAGTATAGTTAATACCAGTTTAGTTGAGAATATGAACAGAGCAGCTAACATATTTTCAGCTTTTCAGATAGACTGACAAAAGAGATCCTACAAGTCAATATACATAGAGATCTAAAAGCTAGTTGAACAGAAGCTAACTCTTTAGCTCTCTATACAAATAAATTGTCATGTCTAACTGTCATGTGCTATTTGCTCAGCACTTGAGCTGAAAAAAATAAACCGTAAGACTTTAACTAGTGAAGCTAATGCTTTCATGATGTGTTGTGTTGGTATTTTGTTAATGATGTACATGATTTGGATTGGTGTGCGGAGGGATAATTGTTACACAACTCATTCTAAAACTCCTACTCATGATGCTTGATAAATGCCAGGCTTCTGTTTGCACAGAGTCATCTTTGCTATGAAGTCAGTGTGTAGCATGCTAACATGAAAATGAGTTCTGATGTCTCTGGAAACCCATGTCACACCCGATCAAATCACTTCCCATCCCCCTGGCTCTATTTTTAACAATATGTTTCTTCACATTTTGTCTCTGCCTAAAGATGTTGCTGTGCTGTGTCTTGCATGTCACCAATGATTTAACTTTAGCAGCTGTGACATCACAAGGGGCATGATGTCAGAGCAAGTGTGTAAATGTTGAAAAGGCTAAATTGCCACTTTAGAAATCATGGCCACCAATGGAGAGTCCAAGTTTGGTAGAGTGATCCAGTGTTTCTCTGCTCAGCTTGTTGTCTGCTGGAAATTGAACAGTTGCATGTCAATGACTGAAGGCCTCAGTGTTTTAAAGGTGTAATGCCTGGCCACATGCTCCAAACTAATAGGCAGCAGTATTTCTACCCCAGGGTGGCACGGTGGTGTGGTGGTTAGCACTGTCGCCTCACAGCAAGAAGGTTCCCGGTTCGATCCCGGGCATGGGAGCCCTTCTGTGCGGAGTTTGCATGTTCTCCCCGTGTCAGCGTGGGTTCTCTCCGGGCACTCCGGCTTCCTCCCACAGTCCAAAGACATGCAGATTGGGGACTAGGTTAATTGATAACTCTAAATTGTCCGTAGGTGTGAATATGAGCGTGAATGGTTGTTTGTCTCTATGTGTCAGCCCTGCGATAGTCTGGCGACCTGTCCAGGGTGTACCCTGCCTCTCGCCCGATGTCAGCTGGGATAGGCTCCAGCCCCCCCGCGACCCTCAAGAGGATGAAGCCGTTAGAAGATGAATGAATGAATGAATTTCTACCCCAGGGCAAGAACAAGCAAAACTAAACCACTGCATAAACTCTGGGAGCCGATCAAAATACAACTGCTATCTTATAATTTTTAAAGGAGCTATATGTAAGAAATATAAAGCAAATAGTCATAAAATCCTCCTAATATGTCACAGAGACTAAGGAATAATTTTCATATAACATACTGATCTCACCAACAACAATAGTACAGCCAGAATATTCGCATTTAAAAAATTTTTTTACGGTCCACAAATCATGTTTATGTTTTGAATTTGTGTTTTGGCCTGTTGCGCCATCCACCGCCGTCTACCAGTCACGCAGTCAGTAGAGTCTCAGCATCAGTTACAGTTATGACTGAGCTACAGCAGCACAGCAAGCAGCATTAGCAGTGTCCCAGTACTAGCATTAGCAGTCTCCTCAGCTGTATCCTGGCAGCAGCGTTAGCAGTGTCCCAGTACATAGCATTAGCAGTCTCCTCAGCTGTATCCCAGCAGCAGCGTTAGCAGCAGAGAAGCCGGACTTGCTCGAATGGTCCGTTGGAAAACCGAAGATCAAGGACATGGCGACGCGGCCCTGCCACGGCAGCCTTCCGTGGGCAAATAAATCAGTCTCCAGCGTGCCGCTGTCCAGCAACCTCGAATCTGTAGGGCAGGGGGGGCACGACTCGCGGCCGTATTTTGAATTTAAGTGCAGTAACCGTTTTGGCCACATTCTTACATACAGCGCCTTTAAGTGTGCCGTCAATCTGCAGTTTACATTATAGCTTGCTTAGCTCAGTTTGAAGACTATAGTGGCAAGAAAGCAGCTGCGTCAAAACCATATATCGATGCCAGTAGGAGTGGTTTTCAGTTTCAGTTGTCATTAGTAGCCCTGTTCGTACTTTGTGTGTTTCTCAGTTTTGACAGTCTTTGCCGAAATCCAGCAGATTTTGGGTTTTGGTTTTTGGGTTTCAAATCTCAGATTATCTGGCTCTGACACACAGTAGTTTGGCTTTGAACAATGTTTCGATTGAGGCAGCAATTTAAGATCATGGACTTGAATGAGGGATGAACAGTCTCACCTGGATCATGAGTACGGACCTTGACCAAATGAGGCTAGTGAGCCTGCTGGCTAGATTGGCCTGGTTGGTCAGGTTGGCCGTGTTGACCGAAGTATTAACTGTAAACTTTGTTTGTGCTTTCTGCAGACAGTGTTCAGTTGACCACGTACTCATTGCACTGAGCAAGCAAGCCGGGACCAAAGAATACTTTTCCAGTATGGATGAGAAAGTCAAGGACATAAAACGATCACTGGTACAAGTGGTATTACAAGACAGGATAGAGCTGGTAAGCTGGGTAGTAGGCTCATTTCAGTAGATATTTCTGTAACACAATACACAGACCTCTTTGACAATGTCAAAACTGTTACTTCCCCGCATTCTAATGGTAACATAAGTTCATACATAAGCCTTTAAATGTTTTAAACTAAAATTCTGGCCATATCTTTCACATTGCACCTTGAATCCCAGTGAATGTATATAATTACAGAGGGTTATGGGTGTAAGGGAAGTGTTAGGGTCAACCTATTGTCTTAAACTCTTCAAACTCTTCATGTTATTATCTCACAGAGGTTATGGTTACTAGTTTTGTCAGAAAATCCCATGAAAAGGACAAATGCATTATAAATAAAAAAAAAATATAAAAAGTAAATGAAAAGAACCAAACTACAGCACAAGGGGTTTTCATTGAGAGAATGAATGTGTTACTTACAAAAGCTACAGTTTTCCTTCAAAAACATATACTCTTGAGTTAATTCAAACTCTTACCGAAGCTGTGTAAGTATTCTCTCCTCTGTAGCCAGGTAGCGGATCCTCTCCTCCTCCATCTCTGCTCTCCGTCTGTACACTGCCTCCTCAGACTGAGCCAAGCGATCATACATCAGCACCGCCAGCTCCTGACCTGCCATCCGCAGCATTGAACTGACACTCTCCTGGTTTGACAGCTGGAACACGTAGAACACAACTCAAGAATTAGGATTCAACAACAGAAGTTTTTTGCTGAGCTAGTGGTGAGGCCTGAGGGAAGGCAGTGTTGGTTGGTCAGTCTCTCCCTCCATCTCTTTGGTCCAAGATATTTCAGCTACAACTACGGACTTCATTGCCATAAAATGTGGTGTGGACATTATTGTCCACAGAGGATGATTATGATGGCCCTATTAATAACACTATTATTATACAGATAGCATTTGAGAAAAGCATGTTGACTAGCTACTGTATGTTACTGTATGTTTAAATAGCTGTGTGAGAGAAAAACACAAAATAAAGTTCTCATTAGGGCTGCAAAATTAGTTGAAATATTATCAAAATCTCAATATGGCCATCGGCCAATGCAATATCCAAATCCCAGTATGTGTTGTTTTTTTTTTTGTTTGTTTTTTTGATGAAGGTAAAATATATCAAAACATACCATTTTAAATAAAGCACTGTGGTGCTATGGAGATACCTAGTTCTACAAATCATATTGCAGACATAAGGTAACACGTTTGTCTGCAACAGACCCCATTTTTTATATTGTTTTTAGTGAAAATGAATGCAAAAATTCCCATTCCCACTAAGACTGTGATTCATATCCCAATTGCAATATCAGTCAAAAAATAACTTTTTTTTTCTTTGCATGCATTCATTCTTTTCATGAGTGAGTACACAGGTCAGTACCTGTAAGTGTCTGAGTTGGTTGAGTTGCAGTCGCAGCTCAAACACATTTCTCTTTGCTAACACCAAGCTCTGCTGCAAACCGCCGTCAGAGGGAGGGGCCTGAAGAGCCAGAGGGGCGGGACTAAAGCTGTCAATCCCAGCAGCAGGGATCTGAGGCTCAGAAGATACTCCTGAGGGCCAGAGAAGGGAGATTTTAAAGATATGATCACATTCAAAGCATAATGAGTGCATTGTTGGTGGCAGGTATCACCATCTGTTAAAATTTTAAAATAAATGAATGAATAATAATAATAATAATAATAATAAGATCTCACCGGGTCTGTTGTTGAGGAGTTTACGTTGAGAGCTCTCACTGAAAAGACACACAGATAGTAACATAATAAACCCAACCACCCTTGGTGTAGCCAGAGTTCATTCAGTATACAGAACTCATTTTGCTATATCCAGAAATGATTAGCACAGGTCTACTCTGTTATCTAGAATTATTTCCTGGTTTAATTTTAGAGATTACATACTGTGAATGAATCTTAAGAACATGTTGGATGTGTGAACGGCTGCTGCTGAATTAAAGCCACTGTTGGTTGAAAAGTTTAAGGGCAGGTGTTACAGACCTGATGGCGTCTTTGACTCCTGGAATATCTGATCCCATAGACAGAGCACTGTGCACTAGACCTGCCAGACTGGCTATCTGCTCCTCCATGGCTTTCATTCTCTCACTAAAAAATAGAAACACATGTATATGCTAGTATGTTTATACTATACAATCAGCACAGTTTTAAGGTGGGCACCCAAGATTCGTGTCACCAATTCAGTATCTGACCAAATGTCTCCCCTTCTGTTCTTGAAATATGACATTGAGTAATGGCCAGGAAAGTGTTTTAGCAGAACATTATGATGTCACAGTAAAGCTGACTTTTGACTTTTTGGATATCAAAAAGGGGAACACCCGCACACTGTCTGCACTTGCAAAAAAAGGTTAAATTTATTAGACTACAACGTTTTGGTCATGGACCTTCATCAGGTAGATACTGACAGAGAGAAAACAGTTCATTTAAACTGGAGGCAAAGTCCACAATGACCCACACCTGAGTCTCATTAGTGGTCAACAGATTACACCTTGTGGCTCTGAGTAAACTCCTCTTCTGTCAATCCATATATTGATAATAATAATAATTACTTACACTGGCCAGCGGAAGTGAAAGTAATTATTATTATTATCAAATTATAATCAACGGTAATGGACAATCCTGCATAGTATAACTTAAACACCCAAATAGATCCCTCCTGTTAATGCTCCTTTAGAAGCTCCACCTTACAGTCCCTATTGCTCACACTGCCTTTCTCTTTATACAGGCTTGGCCTTTCCCCTGTTCTGTGCATGAGCAGAGCATGATAGCGTTGTGTGCCTCTTTGTTTGTTTCCCATTTTGAGAGCCAGGGATGTGTATGAATACCAGATTTTTTTTCAGTGCACACTCAGAACAGACAGCTAGCGGACTGTGAGGAGATATTTGCTGAAGTTGATAAAAAGTGTATTGGATTACATTTATAGACTCCACCCTTTAGGCATGTCTGTTTATGAGTCAAAAGTGAATTCAGATAAACTCTTACAGGATAAACATGCAAAATCACTGACACCATCCCCTGAACATCAACACAGACTTGAAAATTAAGAAGAAAAAAAAAATACATAGCTAATGCTGTGTAGCTTGAAGCTAAGCTTTAAAATATGCTGTACCTCATAAAGTGCTTACAATAAGTATGGAGATTACTCTGGCTCTCTGCTCACCTCTGGGCATTGCTGGCAGGCACGTGACCCTGAAACAGTCTCTCTGGTTGTCCCAGAGGGCTGTCCACAAAAACAGATGAGGTAGAGGACGATGAGCCACTCCCTCTACTTCTGTTCACAATCTCCACCTTGACTCCGTTACTGTCCCGCCGCAGGGACCGGCGAATGGGAGACATCCTGTCTGGAGACACCAGGCCCACCCCTCCGATGATCTGTCCCTCAGTCATCCTGACTTCATTGACTCTGTGAGGGGAAGGGGGTGGGGTTTTAATTCCTAGTGGTGGAAGCTGGCTGTCTCCATACTTCCTGTTCTTCTGCCTGGATGGTGGAGAAACAGGTGGAACAAAGGATGGACTCATACACACCAAGTTACATGAACACTGGGTTCATAGCCAGAGTGTGGTGGGGTCCCCACTTATAAAAATGCTACTGCTGTATTCAAATCAATCATTACTTTAGCTGATGTCCATGATCAGTTCTTCCTCCCTGCGCTTGTTGCGCAGCGCAACGCAGCTTAACTGTCATTGTTAGTTTCAGACCTACGCAGTTGTCATTTTCATGGCTAGTGCCCACGTTGTATAAGTAATCATCTGTGTGGCGACGGCTATGTAATTCTTAAAATGAGGTGGGGTCCTGCACATTGCTGGCGTATTGCTGTTTTGAGGCATTAGAATGTGATTGCACCATTGACCATTAATATCCTGTCTGAAGTCAGAATGCCACAGAATTTTCCTGCTATTTTAAGGGCCCATTATTTAGATGGTAAGATGCTCCTACATAGGCCTGTTCACAAAACACGTACACTCTGCTTGTTACACACACAGGGACATGGGTTAGGATAGGTTGTGGATGGGTGAATTAATACATCATTAATGAGGAAAATATTAATTACTTTCTGTAAAATGAGAACATAGCAGAGATCAAAGCAGAGCTGCTGTCCGACTCCACATTAAGTGAGACGCTGTGCACATTTACGCACGAAGAGCAACGTAACTTCATTGATTATTTTAGATGCTGAATGTTAAGTTCTGTTTCTTCTGTCAAGTTTATCACTAATGTTTTTAGTTTTGCTGCTTAACTGTCCCATGATATTTGCTGCAGGGATATCACTGCTCTTCATGCATTATGCTCAGCTGTAACTGCTCGCTGCTCCAATTTCCCAAATTCACCATGTAAATAGCATTGTGCCAGCTGCATGTGCACCAGGCTATTAAAATGAATAGGAGATGACGCTCTGATTGGTTGAAATTGTGTTACACCCTAAACACACCTTTGAATAATTAAGGACCTAAGGTTCAATCCCAACACACCCCTTGTCCATACCACTTAGTCCTTTACATCTCTGTTTTGTGTGTTCACATCTAGGGGTAGGGTGTAATAATTCTCATTGGGATAGAGGGATAGGGCGAAGTGTTAGGGCTACATGGCCTTCTAAATGCAGGTTTTTCAGAGGCACACTCCAAACCAAGTGTTATGAGAAATCATCAGCAATATGGCTGTTCGAGCAACAAAAGAAACCCACAAATGTATTTTCTTCATAAATCAATATTTTAAAATTATGACAACTATCACATTATGTTAGTTTAATGTTGTTTTAATTCAATATGGCCCTTTTTGTGTAACAAGCATAACAAAAAAAAATGCTGGTAGTGTGATGTTTCTTTTGCTAACTGGCTATATATTACATTATTTCCATGTTCAATGGGATATTTCCCCCTTTAATGGTGTATATGACACCCGTAATTACCTAAAGTCCAGCAGCAAAACAGTTGCACTTGTTACCGCTCCTCTAATATCAGCGCAGACTAATGATAGCCTGCAGAGCACAGCCAGTGGCCTGGTAATTGCGAGAATCATTATAAATGCCATTATGATACAACCGTTATTACCATAGTTGCATCTGCTTACGATAATGCCATAAATGTCTACTGATAACATCTCAGGGTCTTGTTGGGTTGTCCTGTTTCATAAAAAAAGATTTCAACCACTACCCCTTGTAACTTCTGAGGGGCAAAGGGGCAATAAAAATGAGAGGGAAGGGGTTAAAAGAAGAAATGGGACTGGGCTAAATACCTTTGCCCCTTGTGCCCTACTTTGCACCTATATTATGCACTGTTTAACTATCAAAAGTGGAGGTGGATGCCCTGAATTCACTTGCACCATACACTTAAGACTATGCACTATAGGAAGTTTTAATAGGGCCTGCTATATTTATCACTGATGTTAGCACAAACTGTAGTATCATAAATTTTCAGAACAAGACAGCAGTCATTTATTTGATGATGCTGTCAGTGGGCCAGCTGTAAACCTGCCAGGTAGCAGTGGAACAGTGAGGAGCAGCCACAGTGAATGTCAGATAAAGAGATGGAGGTGACAGGCTGCACACCTTCACTTCCGACTCTTTATAATGCGCCCTGCTTTTGTGTGGAAAACTACTGGCTATGTGTGCAGCGTGAAACCTGATAACGGTTTTGATTTCTTTATTTAAACGACCTGAGTTTGTCTGGCTGCACTGTAAATAGCCACACCAGCTGCTCTAACATTGCATCTGTGACAGAGTAGCTGCTCAAACACTGTCTGATATTTGATCATGATATTGGTTTCATCCATTTTGCCCAGCTTTGAAAATGATTAAAGGTAATATCAGGAACAGCCTGGTGGATCTGCAGACCTAGTATAGATAGCATAGTTACTGAGTTACTGTATGCTGCAGTTGCAATGGTAGCTGGCTCAATCAGGCTCATGACCTCTGTCAGCCCCCTACTTCCTGATCTGTGTTGCCGCCTCCTCCTGCACACGCTTGAATGAAGCGTTTGTGTCACTGTTTCCAAAGAATGACACTGTATGTGTGTCTGGATTGAGTTTAAATCATTGTGTGTACCTGTGGAGGGAGCGGGTCTGGTGCTCCATGCTGTCTCCATAGCCCATCAAGGGTTTAATGGAGGCCCGGTACTGTTGCAACCCCCCTGGGATCCCTGTGACCCCGGCATCCACCATGTCCGCAGTGAGAGAGGGAGGAGCACTACACTGGGAGGAGGCAATGCTGAGGTGACCTCCTCCTCCATCCTGCAGGGAGGAGCAGTAGGAGTCTGGGTAATATGGACCTCCTTCACCACGTACCACCAGGGCCATGCTCTTACTGCTGCCAAAGTCCTCATCTGATACACACACACAAGAATTGAGACAGGTAGTACAAAGAGCTTAGACAAGAGTCCATAAGAGACATAGTAGCCATCTATCTTAAGTCATACATGATCAGGAAATCCAACAGGTGGAGCACTAACAACTTCTTGAGCGTAACAATCTCTTCTTCTTAAAAATGGGAAGTCAACACTATGATCATGCTTAAAGGGAGATTGTGTAGCATTTTCAGTTGTTTATTGGCAAAAATTGATGTCTGCATTCATAAATATGTCATCATTGGTGTACTATTACCTCCACCAATAATCTGACTCACTCTCGTAAAAGGAGAATTTCGGATTTGTTTGCACATTGTGCGGGCAAGTCGTCTGGGGGGTTCCATAACGTTTCACCATCTTGAGAATACATCTGCCAGCAAGGGACATACAGCACACCCTCTGCATTTTTGTTGAGAGCCAGGCCAGCACTGCGTGACTGAGAAGCTGAAGGAGAGGAGCAAGAGGCGCTTCACTACTTCCCCGGCACTACTGCAGCATTACAAAGTCCCACTCTTTGAGCATAATGTAGGATCATGCATCATGGGAGAGAGAACCCTCATCGCCAAGAAAGCGCGCATCGGGGTAGCCGTTCCCAGGTGGAGAGACCTGCTGAAGGAGTAAGGTAATGTAATCACAGGCCAGCGCCGCTAGCTGCTAACAGCTGTTAGCAGCTGTCAGCAGTGCAGTGATGCAGGAGAGGGATGAGGTGTGTGAGGCTGAGCCACTTGTCAGTTGTCAAAAAACAAGACGTGATTGGTTTGTTTCGATTTACACCCGCCCCAACAGTCCTACGTTGTAAACACAGCCAGCATGGTGAGGAGGGGGTTTCAACTCGTGTCGCGTGTGTCTGTGTAAGAGCCTGAATGAATACTCCATGAAGTATCGGATGACATGGTTTCATCAATGTTATCATAGCTTTTTGGTACACAGCAGCTACCGTAGTTGCAATACTCGTTTGAAACAGTGAAGCGCTAGAGTGCGCTATCTGTTTGAATGCAATATACGATTTCAACGTTAGATGGGAGAAATTCCTACACACTGTGGCTTTAAGGAAGCACAGCAAAAACATTTTTTTCGGAAAAATTTTGATGCAAGTTTTGAGAGCATCCTCACCTTTGGAATAACTGTGGTATGGAAACACCTAAAACAAATCAGGAAACATCTGAACAAAACAGTTTGCAATGTGCCAAAATCAGCTGTCATTCCTCACTGAAATCTTCACCATTAGACTGCAGAGGAAGGGACACAATATTCTTCATGTCTCCTCTCACCATACAAACCATCTTTTTAACTTCCTCTCATCTTTTAAAAGAGTGAAAAGAATCACAACTAGGACAGCCAGGTTCTGCAATTGCACTTTCCCAGAATTCCCTTCACTCCTGCATTACTAATGTGCTGTTATTATTTCTGTCTGTAAGACACCTTAAGGGCATCTATACAATGATATACATCATAGCTGGTTGTGGTACTGAGAGCATCCCCATGGGAATGCTTTTTATAAGTATTTATTGTTATTAATTCATTTATTTTTCTGTCCTCAGGTGGGTACTGTGTGTGACGTGGAGTTCTTGTTGTTTTTGTTTTGTGTGAGCTAACCTAACCACATTAATAACAACTCTGTTGAAAAAAATAAATACTGAATTTTGCAAAAATCTACTTGATTAAAATGAAGGCTCTGCACTGTGACTTGAAGTATCTCCATTGTTGGCATTTTTTAAAAATTCACCATGCATGTGCTTACTGTAACTCAAATGTAACACAAAGGTAACTGAACTGGAATTGAAGACTCACCCCAGGGTTAGTCAACTCAGAGTCCAGTGTTACACTAAGTTTGTTTAAGTTGATTTCTGGAAAGGACAGCTCCCGAACAGCAACCAGGACACCTGCTACACTACTGCTTCTACTTTATGTTTTTCTTTGGTGTGGAGAGGTTCTAATGGAGCCTCGCAGTAGTTCAGGTAGGAATAGTCCTCATTTCATTTTCTGAGCTCTAATCTAAATCCCTCCACCACTCCAGCTTCCTCCTATATTATCATTTCGTTGTGTGTGAATGTTTTCAAGACATGATGATGCTTATTAAATACTGTGTATCTCAGGCTCTGTGCTAAACTGATCAGTGGGCCCAAATGGAATCTGCAGATTTTTTTTAATGTTTTCAGCAGTCATCCAAAATGAAAATCTGAGGAATTCTGCAGAGTGTTTTTTTTTTTGCCTGTAATGTGTTAGACAACACTCATTTACGATAACAATTGTTGAACAAAAATAACCTGTCACAATACATTAAAACCTAAAATTACCTCAAGCAGACTAAAAGAACTACTTTACAGATTTTAGTAGGAACTTTGAATCAGAAATTTGATTTAATCATGAATACTTGAAGAAAAACAATTTAACACTTCAACTCAATCAAGTCAATCAACAAAATTTGGGACACATGGCATTGCAGGTAATCATTTTTTGACATTTCTTCTCACTACACCACTAACTTTGATTTTATTGCTAACTGGATACAACACACAATTGTAATACACATGGACAAGGACTTGGAGGAGACAGTGACAACATTCTGAGTTTAACAGCAGGATCTATATTCCAAAAATCTGCGGAAAATCCGCAGAGTTCTGCGGGCACAGATTCTATATGGAACTGCTGTTCAGATTTGCATCCCATGAGCTGAGTCAAATTAAAATGTATATTGCCGAAAAAAATGGTCAAACTGGTTGTGACTGTTCCGGAGTACATTCGGCATCAGTACATTTTAAGATTTTTTCATTTTTAAGTATACTTAAGTTGTTGTTTTTTGTTTCTTTTTTTTGCTACACATACAGCATATATTTATTTATGAACCTGGGTCTTTACCAGTCCCTCCAGGATGTTGTGATCGCAACAGTTAATGCAAATTCAGCCAATCCCTGTGAATTCTGCGTGGCCTTGCAATTTTGTCCTATCACCACAACTTTCATTGCTTTGGCAATATGCATGCAGCATATTAATTCACTCAACCCCTCCTTGCCACTCTCTGTCTGTTTATCATGAGACTGCTACTGTGCCTGGGACAGGGTCACACACACAGTGATGTGTTTATTAATGGGTTGAATGACACAGCTGAGCTGTTTTGGTGTAGGTGGGGTGAGATTATTGGAACTGTTAAACGAACTCAACAGTGTAGGATGTTAGCCGCTGCTGCTAACACTAACACTAACAACATTAAAATTCATAATAGTAAGCTCTGTATCCAAGACAGCATTGCAACTATTTTTGCAATTTTTTACAACTGTAATTTCATCTAAAAAAATGCCTGAAAATATTGCACCGTGCATTGCAATTTTTCAGAAGAGCTGCCGTGAAATCAGAAATTTCAGGCTGCAACAGTCACAAAAACAGCCGAAAAAAATTCTGGAGGGACTGCTTTACAGTCTCCCATCAGATATTGCAGATCACAGTACCTTCAAGCCAATAAGCGTCTTCATTTCAAAGACTGTGCCTATGACTCACTCCTGACACATTGTTGAAGAGAAGAGTCCTGCATGTTTACTCTTCTGGATTCTGTTTGCCAGTTGTTACATAAGGACAGGCACAGCAAAAACAAGAGCAGCAACAATGAGGTCTGGCAATAATTCAAGATGAAGTATTGCCAGACCTCATTGTGTGTGTGTGTGTGTGTGTGTGTGTGTAGTCTGTATTTTTTCCAGGTCTGTGTGGTAGAGAACAGGTTTTGTGGTTGAGGTCTGTAAAGTAAAGAGCTTGGCAGCACCTGGGAGTTGCTTAAACTTGCCTCTAATCCACAGACTTTCCTCCAAACACTCTGCCTGAAACACTCACAACACTCTGTAACTTAACTGAAATCTGTAACACAACTAAACTTTGTAACTTCACTGAAATCTGTGACGTAACTACAAATATACAAATTTATTATTTCTTGTGTGAGTAAATCCTTTCTCTGTTGCTCTTCCTGGGGTTTCTCCCTTTTTCCTTTTTTGAGTTTATCTTGACCTGAATCAGTGTCTTAGTGTATATTGTGCAGACTGTAATGCCCTCTGTGGCAATTTTATAATTCTGACCTATAACTAACAATGATTAGACAAAAAAACCTGCACATTGTGTTTAGTAATACTCAAACACTGACCATCCACCAGCTGAGGACCCTGCAGGTATCTCACCAGGCTTGACGTCTCTCCTCTCCAGTATAGCACTGCTGCTGGTGCAGAGGGAGCTAGATCGCCCTGTCCCTGACAGGCGTTCCCGTGGTAACGTGGCACTGCCTGGATCTACCAGCCCCATCCTCCCACCTGTGTTCCCCCCGCCGTACGCCATCCTGGAGGGGGACGAGGGCATGGAGCGGACCATGGGTGGGGACATGGAGCCCTGCAGGCTGTGCAGGGTGCTGCGGCTGGATGAGGACAGGGTGTGGACTGGACTGTGACTGCCGTACAACACCTCTTTGGAGATCTGTTAAAAGAAAAATAAGAAAAAAAGTGCTTACTTTGAGGGAATGCTGACAGACACCAGAGTGTTAATGTTATTGCTCAAAATTGTGAATTAAAATACTAATTGAAGAGTTAATTTCCTCTTAATTAAATTCTCAAACCCCGAAACTCACCATAGAAAAACCTTATGAGACTTAGGGACATGAAGCTACTGTATACATTTAAACTGTTTCAGCATCCTGAAATTATGAAATAACTGTTTATCTGTATGCATACTGTTGATATAATGGTTGAAAAAGCTTTACTGAAGCTTTAATTGCATACACAGAAAGACAAAAGTAAATGGAGGATACATAAATACAGTGAGTCAGTGGTGATTTATTTAATGTTCATTATAGGTTCGCCCCGGCCATACACTTCTAGTGTTCTGTATAATTTTGTATAGCAAATTTTAGTTCATATTTTTAAAGTTCTTTATCATTTTGTCTGCTTCAATTTGATGTGTTTGAATTTATTTTTCTGGTCTCAACTGTTATATATTTGTGTTGTATTTGTGTTGGCGTGTGATGGAAGGGAGTCAGCGGATGGATCACATGATTCCTTTCTATGCAGCCAGTTGGCAAATCTCATTCAGGGCGCCTTATTTAAACTGCTTTGGCAAGCCTGCTATTGCTGCTTCCTCTGCAAGGCGCTGTGTAACCTGTCTCCACCCCAGCTCCTCCTTTTCATGCCGTGTCTGACTTATCAATGTAATTCCTGTTTGTCAGTGATGCTTGCTCTATTCTGTTCCTGGGGGGTGTTTACTGCTGCTCTCCCTGCCTTAGGCTTTCCATGTATGTAGGCACATGGAAGGGCAGAGAGGTGTGCTACCTTAATCTTTCTGCATAGGCCTGAGGAAAAGGCAGAGAGGCCCTAGAACAGAGCCATACTGCCAAATATAATGCTGCAAATGAAATAAAGTTTTCTTTGACTGAAGTGGTCCTGACTAAATAAGAATAGAAGTGACAGGCAAAAATGAAACAAATCTTTTTAATTGACTCTTTCTGGTGTCTGGTTTGTATTGGGTCAACCTGTTGAATGTCTGAGTGCTCATAAACCCCTGACTTTTCCTGCTCGCTGTTACTGTAGGATGCTGCTCACGATGCCTGCTACAGTGAGTGAAAGAAAAGCGATTGAATGGAAATCGAGGTGAGACCTCCGCCAGCAAAGGCTAATGGTGCATTAACATGCTCCTTGGATTACTGTTCTTCTGAATTCGGTGTGTTCATGAGCTTAAAGTTGTAATGTGGAAACAACATGGTGCTACAAAGATGATGTATTATATTTTATTGCTCAAGGAAACGTATCAGGTGAGCCATGAAACATGATCAGGAGTCATTTTTCAGATTATTCTGACACCACATGAATGCAACACAAGGCTGCAGAGGTAATTGGGACGTCTGCTACTTGCCCCTCAAAGAACAACAGATTGTTGGTCAGTGACATGTCTCCAACATTCTTTTGAAATTACAAAGCCTATCTGCATCATGTGGGATGCTCAATCAATGCACTAAAACAAATATTGTATCTTTATTAATGGGAACTTATACATGATGACTAGTAATGCATTCAGAAGAAGTTTTGTGGGCGGCAGCACAAGCTGTTGAACATGCGTATACTACGACAGAGTCTCATAGAGAAAATGACAACATATTTAGCAAAACGCATCAAAACTCAAAAGGTTTGATATATTTACATGTTTCAACTCGAAGGAACCATTTCTGCGAAACGAGTTGGTCTGCCAATTATTAGAGAATAGTCAACATAAACATTACAAATCAGAAAAAGAAGCGAGAATACACATCCCATGCACTTACACAGGCTTGGGAAAGACTTGTTTATATCTGAGGTCTGCCAGGTATGCATGGGAAAAAAAAGAGGCAATAACAATGGCTGGGTGCTCTCAGAAACCAAAACCCACTGCAGGAAAACCTGCTTTTACAGAGAAGCCCAGCATAGTCATATAGGTGTGTGAGTGTGTGTGTGTGTGTGTGTGTGAGAGAGAGAGAGAGAGAGAGAGAGAGAGAGAGAGAGAGAGAGAGAGAGAGAGAGAGAGTGAAAACTGTGGGAAGAAATCCCAGCGTCAACATGCTCTTATGCAACCAGTGAATCAACATGTGTGTAATCAGACTGACTTCACTCTGCTCTTCACAACAGGAACATGTGGGTTTACACCACTCTGACACACAAACTGTCAGGACAACTGATTCTTCTGCTGCCTGCTTGCGTGTTAAACAACCAAAGCTCAGTGGTTCCAGCCTCTGACTGCCAGGCTGATCCCAGAACAGCCTGTGCAAAGAACAGCCATTACCTGTTTGCTTAAGGGCAAGTATTACTATGCACATACTGTGTATTATTAATCTGGGGTCTTCTTGTTCAGCAGAAGTTTTTTTTTGTATACACACTTTCTATCAATATGCCTGTTGGGGATTTCCTTCCTTTCCAAGAACATGGTTTGTGAGTTCTTAGTAAACACACGCCTGAACTTGTCTGGGTGGTCCCACGAAGCCAGTTTTACATATCAGGTTTTCCCATCATGGAGCTCTGTCAGCCATTTAAACTGAAGCTAGTAGCATGAGTATCCTCATCATGCTCGTGCTGTGCATCCAAGTGAATCTCAACCAACCTTTATTTGAAATTCTTGTGGAAATCGCAAAGTCTTCAATGATGCCAGAGATGTCAGTCTGAATTTTGGGAATGATGAACATCGCATCTAGATTATTTCCAATACTTAGTTTTTTATGTTTTCCTTATCTAAATCAAGGGTCTAAGGATCGTGCTGTATGCTGTACAGATTCTAAAGCCCTCTGAGGCAGACTAAGACTGATTTTAGGCTATAAAAATAAAACTGATTGTGATCAAATCTCAAGTTGACTCACATTTAACTTCCTTGTTATCACAATCAGAACTATGTCAGAATTCTTAATATTACTATTTGTTTATATACAGTATCAGTAAAGTATCCATGGGATATTATATCGTGGTAGTAATCATGGGAAGGTTAGGGTTAGGAAAGATCCATACAATGATGTAGTAGTTGCGTTGTTGGGTACACTTTATAAACAGCTGTTGGTTTAAAGAATTTCTTAAAAGAACAACAAACTTAATGACTGGAAAAACTGATCAGTTAAAACCAGAAACTAGAATTACTCCATCATGGTTGTATGCCTCCCTAAACCAGTCAAGTTTCTCTTATAGTTTACATCCATGTCTGTGAAAACACGGATGCTTCACACACATCTTCCCACCAGCAGTACAGAAGATCTAAACAATCAGCAGAGTTTCAAGGTGGACGCCCAAGATCAGTGTCACCAATTCAGTATCTGACCAAATGTCTCCCCTTCTGTTCCTGAGATATGACATTGAGTAATGGCTAGAAAAGTGTTTTTGCAGAACATTATGTCACAGTGAGGTTGACCTTAACCTTTCGGATATAAAATGTCATCACTTCTTGATGGCTGTTCCATTGGTGTGTGAGTGTGTTAAATCTGTGTAACAGGTGGAACCTTGTATGGTAGCGTTGGCCACCAGTGTGTGAATGTGTGTGTGAATGGGTGAATGTGACTCATTGTGACTCTTTGAGTGGTCAAAAGACTAGAAAGGCACAATACAAGTGCAGTCCATTTACCATGAAAAATGTTTTGTGAGGTTACAGTGACCTCAACGTTTGACCACCAAATTTAAATCAGTTCATTGTTGAGTCCAAGTGGACGTTTGTACCAAATTTGAGGAAATTGTGTTGTTAAGATTTTGTGTTCACAAGAATAAGATGGATGCAAGGTCACAGTGATCTTGTCCTTTGACCACCAAAATCTAATCAGGTCATCTTTGAGCCCAAGAGAATGTTTGTGCCAAATTTGAGTTCTCCATACAGAGCCCTGACTTGAACCCAATCAAACATCTCTGGAAAGATCTGAAAATAACTATCCACTGCCAGTCCCCATCCAAACTGACACAGTTTGAGAGGAAGACTGGCATAAAATCCCAAAATCCAGATGTGCAAAGCATGTCATGTCATACCGAAAAAGACTCAAGGCTGTAATCACTGCCAAAGTTCAACTAATAGTACTGACTTTTGTCAATGTGATATTTCTTTTTTTTGTTAAACAGGCAAATAAAACAATTTATTTTGTAACAAACTGCAGCTCATTCTGCAGCGCCTTGGTAGCCAAGTGGTTACAGCACATGCCCTATAACCATAACATTAGTTTGAGTCAAATCGTTGGTTTGGTAACTTGTCAATGAATAGCATAACCCTAAACTAATGCACCCTGAGAAAACCCATGCTGACACAGGGAGATTTCCTAACAATTAGTCCCAAGCCAGCCAGTTTCAACCCAGAACCTTGTTGCTGTAAGGTGATAATGCTCACCATTGCACACAATGCCAACAATATGAGTAAAAGGTTCGAAACACTGTAGCAGCTGCTAAAAGCCTTCTACACACCAATACATTCACTGAAATGACTGTTTGTGGTAATACTGAGCAACTGCATGGATCTATCAAGGACTCTGAAGCAGACACTGTAAATTTGATTTCTATGGGTTATTACTGTAACCAGTTGGTTCTGAGCTGCCCTGTGTAACCACCACCCACAGGTATAGGCATTGGGGTGGTGAGCAATGTTAGCCAGGCAGCAGGCAAAGGCGAGGATAAGCATGCTGACCCCTGGCTTCATAGACTGTTCTAGGGTGGCAGGGCTCAGCCTTAGAGATAGGTAGGGAGCTGAGATATCCAGAGGGAGCTTAAGTGGAGCCTTCACATTAGAAGGAGCCAGTAGAGTTAGCTTGGGCATCTGATCAGGCACCTTTCTTTAGGGGTTTACTGGGCAAGTCTAATTGGTAGAAGTTCCAAGAGTAGACCCAGAACATGCTGAAGAGATTATATATCTCAACGCTTAGGAATCCCCCAGGAGAAGCTGGAAAATGGAGGGAGGGAGAGGGATGTCTGGGCTCCCTAGCTTAGCACCACTGTGGGTAAGCA